TGTCCCGTCTGTTGTTGCCCTCTGTCTTTAGTTGTCCTCTGTCTGCGCTCATGTTGTCTGTAGTTGCCCTCTGTCTGTAGTTGCCCTCTGTCTGTGCTCATGTTGTCTGTAGTTGCCCTCTGTCTGTAGTTGCCCTCTGTCTGTAGTTGCCCTCTGTCTGTGCTCATGTTGTCTGTAGTTGCCCTCTGTCTGTAGTTGCCCTCTGTCTGTAGTTGCCCTCTGTCTGTGATCATGTTGTCTGTAGTTGCCCTCTGTCTGTAGTTGCCCTCTGTCTGTAGTTGCCCTCTGTCTGTGATCATGTTGTCTGTAGTTGCCCTCTGTCTATAGTTGCCCTCTGTCTGTAGTTGCCCTCTGTCTGTGCTCATGTTGTCTGTAGTTGCCCTCTGTCTGTAGTTGCCCTCTGTCTGTAGTTGCCCTCTGTCTGTGATCATGTTGTCTGTAGTTGCCCTCTGCCTGTGCTCATGTTGTCTGTAGTTGCCCTCTGTCTGTAGTTGCCCTCTGTCTGTGTTCATGTTGTCTGTAGTTGTCCTCTGTCTGTGATCATGTTGTCTGTAGTTGCCCTCTGTCTGTAGTTGCCCTCTGTCTGTGCTCATGTTGTCTGTAGTTGTCCTCTGTCTGTAGTTGCCCTCTGTCTGTAGTTGCCCTCTGTCTGTAGTTGCCCTCTGTCTGTGTTCATGTTGTCTGTAGTTGTCCTCTGTCTGTAGTTCCCTCTGTCTGTAGTTGCCCTCTGTCTGTAGTTGCCTTCTGTCTGTAGTTGCCCTCTGTCTGTAGTTGCCCTCTGTCTGTGTTCATGTTGTCTGTAGTTGTCCTCTGTCTGTAGTTGCCCTCTGTCTGTAGTTGCCCTCTGTCTGTAGTTGCCCTCTGTCTGTGTTCATGTTGTCTGTAGTTGCCCTCTGTCTGTAGTTGCCCTCTGTCTGTAGTTGCCCTCTGTCTGTAGTTGCCCTCTGTCTGTGTTCATGTTGTCTGTAGTTGCCCTCTGTCTGTGTTCATGTTGTCTGTAGTTGTCCTCTGTCTGTAGTTGCCCTCTGTCTGTAGTTGCCCTCTGTCTGTAGTTGCCCTCTGTCTGTGTTCATGTTGTCTGTAGTTGTCCTCTGTCTGTAGTTGCCCTCTGTCTGTGCTCATGTTGTCTGTAGTTGCCCTCTGTCTGTGTTCATGTTGTCTGTAGTTGTCCTCTGTCTGTAGTTCCCTCTGTCTGTAGTTGCCCTCTGTCTGTAGTTGCCTTCTGTCTGTAGTTGCCCTCTGTCTGTAGTTGCCCTCTGTCTGTGTTCATGTTGTCTGTAGTTGTCCTCTGTCTGTAGTTGCCCTCTGTCTGTAGTTGCCCTCTGTCTGTGCTCATGTTGTCTGTAGTTGCCCTCTGTCTGTAGTTGCCCTCTGTCTGTAGTTGCCCTCTGTCTGTGTTCATGTTGTCTGTAGTTGTCCTCTGTCTGTGTTCATGTTGTCTGTAGTTGCCCTCTGTCTGTGTTCATGTTGTCTGTAGTTGCCCTCTGTCTGTGTTCATGTTGTCTGTAGTTGCCCTCTGTCTGTAGTTGCCCTCTGTCTGTGCTCATGTTGTCTGTAGTTGTCCTCTGTCTGTAGTTGCCCTCTGTCTGTAGTTGCCCTCTGTCTGTGTTCATGTTGTCTGTAGTTGCCCTCTGTCTGTGTTCATGTTGTCTGTAGTTGTCCTCTGTCTGTAGTTGCCCTCTGTCTGTGTTCATGTTGTCTGTAGTTGTCCTCTGTCTGTAGTTGCCCTCTGTCTGTGCTCATGTTGTCTGTAGTTGTCCTCTGTCTGTAGTTGCCCTCTGTCTGTAGTTGCCCTCTGTCTGTGTTCATGTTGTCTGTAGTTGCCCTCTGTCTGTGTTCATGTTGTCTGTAGTTGTCCTCTGTCTGTAGTTGCCCTCTGTCTGTGTTCATGTTGTCTGTAGTTGTCCTCTGTCTGTAGTTGCCCTCTGTCTGTAGTTGCCCTCTGTCTGTAGTTGCCCTCTGTCTGTGCTCATGTTGTCTGTAGTTGCCCTCTGTCTGTGTTCATGTTGTCTGTAGTTGTCCTCTGTGTGTTATCTAGCTTGTCCTACCTGATCTACATTCCTGACTTCGCTGATAAGGTGAACTTTTGTCGTGTCTCATAATCTGGACAAGCAATGTTCACTTATCAACTTAATTTACACTCAAATTCAGGATAAACTAGCCACTTCAACAATTAAATAAAAACATTCAAACATTGCCAGATGTATTTATTTAGGCCAATTAAAATCTACTAGATTAAACGATGGTAAAAAAATAAAATCCAGTGGGGGAATCCCCTCCTGATAAGAGCATGTCAAGTCTAATCAGGCTCTACAAATACACCACCCATAAATGCTAACATATTGAAACCACTCATCACTTAAGGTTGACTATCAAGTTAAGCTGTTTAAAGACACCAATTCATGATGGTGTGGTCAGATGGAAGAGTTTACGACTGCTGATCTGAAAGTCTTGAGTTTGTATGAGACTCTAATCTACAGGATGTCCCCGAAACCACCCAGCTCTGATTGCTACCTGACTCATGTTAGGGAGACTAAGGTGGCTGGATATAATGCTGACCACATTTTCCCTCTGTAGGCAGATGTAATGAAAACAGATGAACTCTACTACACCTGCCTCATGTGGGCTAGGCAAGCAGGGAGGGAAAAGGTGGAAAAAAGAAAGAGGGGGGGGGGGTGTTTGGGTAGACTGTGCACTTGCTGACCCACAATTTGTGAATGCTGAACCAGAGACTGTAGGTTGTCCCCAGAGAAAGCGTTTTGGGAGGAAGCAAAAATCTGGGTCTAGTGGCTATTCTTCTTCTTATTCATTCTTAATTATGGTGTTGGAAGGGATCCACTCCAGCACAATTAAGTATACGTGTCAACTGGTTATGCGCCATATAGTCCGATTTCAGCCTGCTTTTCTTTTTGGAATTGCTTCCATAGCCTTTGTCCAACCAAGAACAAAATACAAGGCAGCAGTTGTTTGATTTTAGAGTTCTCTCCTGGAAGAGTGGCTGTCGCCAACTAACGAGCTTCATCTGCCCGAGGGTTCGAACTCGAGACTTCTCGGTTTAGCAACCATGAGCTTTACCAACTCAACGATGACGCAGACCCATTAGTGGCTAGTAACATGGGTGAGAAAAATTATTGTTTCTTAACCCTGTTGCAGTCTGCCTGACTAGTGGACAATGGTTGAGCTGGTAGTTGAAATTTGAAAAACAGAGAAAGACGTAATTAGCTATCCTCATTTATACATATACACACTGGCTTTATGACAGGTAAGTTGGTAGGTCGTGTGACAGACAGAACATTAGCTCCGTTAGGTCATGTGACAGACAGAACATTAGCTCTGGTAGGTCATGTGACAGACAGAACATTAGCTCTGGTAGGTCATGTGACAGAACATTAGCTCTGGTAGGTCATGTGACAGAACATTAGCTCTGGTAGGTCATGTGACAGAACATTAGCTCTGGTAGGTCATGTGACAGACAGAACATTAGCTCTGGTAGGTAATGTGACAGACAGAACATTAGCTCTGGTAGGTCATGTGACAGAACATTAGCTCTGGTAGGTCATGTGACAGAACATTAGCTCTGGTAGGTCATGTGACAGACAGAACATTAGCTCTGGTAGGTAATGTGACAGAACATTAGCTCTGGTAGGTCATGTGACAGAACATTAGCTCTGGTAGGTCATGTGACAGAACATTAGCTCTGGTAGGTCATGTGACAGAACATTAGCTCTGGTAGGTCATGTGACAGACAGAACATTAGCTCTGGTAGGTAATGTGACAGACAGAACATTAGCTCTGGTAGGTCATGTGACAGAACATTAGCTCTGGTAGGTCATGTGACAGAACATTAGCTCTGGTAGGTCGTGTGACAGAACATTAGCTCTGGTAGGTCGTGTGACAGAACATTAGCTCTGGTAGGTCATGTGACAGACAGAACATTAGCTCTGGTAGGTAATGTGACAGACAGAACATTAGCTCTGGTAGGTCATGTGACAGAACATTAGCTCTGGTAGGTCATGTGACAGACAGAACATTAGCTCTGGTGGGTCATGTGACAGACAGAACATTAGCTCTGGTAGGTCATGTGACAGAACATTAGCTCTGGTAGGTCATGTGACAGACAGAACATTAGCTCTGGTAGGTAATGTGACAGACAGAACATTAGCTCTAGTAGGTCATGTGACAGACAGAACATTAGCTCTGGTAGGTCATGTGACAGACAGAACATTAGCTCTGGTAGGTAATGTGACAGACAGAACATTAGCTCTGGTAGGTAATGTGACAGACAGAACATTAGCTCTGGTAGGTCATGTGACAGACAGAACATTAGCTCTAGTAGGTCATGTGACAGACAGAACATTAGCTCTGGTAGGTCATGTGACAGACAGAACATTAGCTCTAGTAGGTCATGTGACAGACAGAACATTAGCTCTGGTAGGTCATGTGACAGACAGAACATTAGCTCTGGTAGGTCATGTGACAGAACATTAGCTCTGGTAGGTCATGTGACAGACAGAACATTAGCTCTGGTAGGTAATGTGACAGACAGAACATTAGCTCTGGTAGGTCATGTGACAGACAGAACATTAGCTCTGGTAGGTAATGTGACAGACAGAACATTAGCTCTGGTAGGTCGTGTGACACAACCCAATGGAAGCTCATCAAGATTTACACAGATATAAAGCTGTGCTAGTCTTTATTATAGTAACTCTTACATTTTCTTTCATAAAAAACAAAGTCCATGTTTAATATATTATCCCATTGTATCTTAATTTTAGAAAACTTACAAAACAAAACATTAATTACTCAAAGTAATATATACAGCACAAAGTGTCCATCTTTTAAATCTTTGTGAACATCAGAGTTTCTTCTAGGCATCTCTTCGGGCTGCCGAAGAAAGTCTACTGGCCCCACCAAACGAAATGGACTTTATGTAGAAAATATAGACATTTATCAGTGTCCGCGTCCGCCCCCACCCACCCCCCCCCCCCCCCCCCGAGAAAAAAAGTCTGGAAGAAACACTGGTGAACATTGTGATCATCTTGGTGGATTACAGGACTAATGAATGAAAGTTGAATTTTTTAAATCTGTCTCCCTTTACCATTTTACAAGTAAAAACTTTTCCCTCTGTTATTAAACAGCTGAAGAACCTTAGTTACGGGGGATGGGTGTATAATAAACCCCTGTATTATTTGGGCAGTCTTTGAAATAGCTAGTGACATCAGCAGTTGGATGGGAACCAGACTGTCTTTCAGGCTTGAACTTTAAAACTTTGTGTGAGCTCCCAAGTTTTCTCATCAAGTGCTGCTCAGTTGTGTTGGCCTCTGTACAGTTTCTCCCAGTCAAATCTTTATTCAAACACAGCCAGATCTCTGACAAGTAGTGCTGCTTATCCTCTTTCTTTAAGGAAAATAGAACAGAAACAAATGATGAGAAGTTGAAGAGGAACTCTTCAGCCAACAGGACTTCAATGTCCTTCAACTGATTATTTTTTTAACATTTGGAATTAAGTCAGCCTTTATAACAGGCTTTATTTGTATACCCAACACAATTGCATTCATTGATCAATTAAACTATTGTCAAGGCCACTTTGTATCAGCATGTAAACATTAAGTATAGAAACAGGTGTAGTTAGGTAAATAGTACATGGGCCATGTGAAACCACGCCATGTGAAACCACATCATTGTTTCACTGATACCTACACTACTGAATTAGCAACTAATGGATATCCCAGGACACAGTTGCCTATTGTCTCCCCATTGTATAATAATGGATGATTTACAAATATGAAAATGTACAAAAAACAAACACCAGAATATTTCAAATATTTAACCAAAAAGAAAGGGCAGGCCAGCTACTTCAGGTGTTTGCCTGTGGTTTGCAGGTTGTCATTTGACCATACAAATAGAATACATGAGAACAAGCACAGAATCAAGGTAAACTGCTTAAATCTGTCTGCTAATGCTGATCTACGATTAAACATAAATGTAATTTCAAACTAAGCAACAAAATTAAAAGAAAAGGTTGGAAAGAACTTACATTATACATACAAACAATGTTTGGAATTAACTGAACTCCTGAGTAAACAGCGTTATAGATATCTTGAGGCTGGAACAGGGAGTAATTCAAGTAGAAAATGTTTATACTTTCAGAAAACAAATTTTACAGTTTCATGATTATTTTAATGTAGATTTTATTTATCAATGTCATTAATACAGACTGATTGTTATCCTTTAAATAAATAAATATATATATATATATATATATATATATATATATATATATATATATATATATATATATATATATATATATATATATATTATATATATAAAAAATGCCAGTTATATTTTTTAAATGTACAACCATTTTCTTTTCCAAGTTTAAAAATCTTAAAATCTTTTTACCAACTCACCAGGTAAGTGTCGCTTGTTGAAGGAACTATATTAGCCTTCTGTAAAATTCTGTGAATAAAAGATAATGCAATATTAGCATTTTTTTTTTACTGTAAAAACATAAAAAAATAATGCACTAATATTAACATCATATACTATACTGAAGATGAAAATTAATGCAATAATATTACCCTTCTTTAAAATCTGTATATAATGCAATAATATTAACGTCCTTTACTATATGTACTATATCTAACAATCATATTTGAATTTAATCCGGGGTCGGCGTGGTCGAGTCGGTAAAGCTCATGGTTGCTAAACCGAAAAGTCTCGAGTTCGAACCCCCGGGCAGATGAGGCTCGTTAGCTGGGGACAGCAACTCTTCTAGGAGAGACAACTCCAAAATTAAACAACTGCTGCCTTGTAGTTTGTTCTTGGTTGGACAAAAGGCTATGGAAGCAAATCCAAAAAGAAAAGCAGGCTGAAATCGGAGTCAATGGCCTCAATGGCGCATAACCAGTTGACACGTAACGCTTAATTGTGTTGAAGGCGTGGTCGAGTCGGCAAAAAGCTCATGGTTGATAAATTTGAACAAAGTCTCGAGTTCAAACGCACTGGCAGATAATTCTCGATCCCCTTCAACACTAATAATTAAGAACGAAGAAGAAGAAGAAGAAGAAGAATTTAATCCTTAAGAGCTGAAATAAAAATATTTTGCCTTTATATAAGTGATAGCTGAAGAACAAATATTTCACAGTTATCACTAATGTCCAATTTTAAAAAGTAGCAATATGGACGTTTTCAGTAGAAATATGACAAAGGGAAACTACTCTCTCTGGTATTAAGTCCTTTCCTTAAATTCTAATAAACAACATAAACAACTTACTCCAGCAAATTGATCCCTGAATGAACTCCTAAAGTTTGATTGAAATACTTGAGCTCTCCTTTAAGTATGGGCAAGCTGTAAGCACAGGTGCCATGTTTATCCCATTCATGCTCCCTAGAATAAACAATATAGGAGGATCATGTTACAGTTTCTTCACTGGGGTCAATCATTTGGTAGGGCACACACAGATTTGTTTACAAGACAAATTAGTGACATAAAAATGACATTTCTCTAGGCATACAAGAGCTCTGTTGGGTCTACAACACAAATAATTGACATAAAAATGACATTTCTCTAGGCATAGAGTTCAGTTGAATCTACAATAATTGACATAAAAATGACATTTATCTAAGCATACCACAGTTCAGTTGGGTCTCCACTTTTGTTGTAATAAGGCCATTGCACATTTAACTGGGGTCTCAGCACCTTCACAAAGCAATAAAAAAAACAATTTTTAAATCATTTTGTCGTTTGTATATTAAAAAAAATTTTACTACCACTAATTTTAATCCCAGTCTAATTTAACCTACAGTAAATTATTTGAAGATAACTGTGTAAAATAAATTACCTCAATTTGTTTCTCATCAAACTTCATACTGTTGTTACAAAACTCTGGCTGGGATGAGCTGCCAGGTATTGAAGGCCTGTCATTTTTAAAAAAGTTTTTACCTTATAAGACTTATCAGTTATACAGATAGTTAAACATCATTTCAGACACGATAAATCAACTTTGAAAAGTAATTTCATATAAATTAAATCAAGATAGAAGGAGAGAGGATCTGGCATTGTCTGATTATAAAAACAGTAAAGTAAAGTTTCCCTTTCAAACCTGACTGTCTATGGGGCAAGTGAAGTAGAGTTCACTTGTTTCTGTGACCTCGGCATACAAAGAGATAGTGTGGTCAGCACTATGCCCAGCTGCCTTTACTTTCCCTAACCTGAGTTAGGTACCCATCAGAGTTGGGTGGACTCAAGGACGGTCCACTGATTTGAACCCGGATTCGAACATGAGACTTACGGGTTAGCAGTCCAGCTGTCTACTGCTAGACCGCTCCGTCCCTGATTATAGGCTGCTAAAAATTATATTATTAAATGAATGCAAATAAGTAGATTAAGTAAATTATAAACTAAAAGGTAAAAAAATGGAAAACAAAAATATGTTTTTTCAGTTTACCATAGTCCATGTATTGTCCAGCCATTAACCTGCTCAGGTACAACACAACCCTAACAAAGTGGAAGTGTTACTTTTTATTATAAAATACAAAATGTAAAGCTATACTTATTTTTCAAATGTTAATAATTATTATTTTTTTAGTCTTTGTGTTTTGAAAAAAAAAGATGGAAGCATACTTTATAAAGAGCTGAATGAAATTATTTCTAAAGTATTTTAAACCATATGAAAAGGGCTTACAGAATGTTCAAAATAAATGCACGATGAAGATGGCCAAAACTGGGCAAACAAAAGAAAATCCCATTCTTTGGCCAACTCTGTGACTGCTAAAGCACTGGGAAAAAAAGGTTGAATTATTGAAATTTTCTCTAGCTTATTGCTACAGCATTATCTTCTTAAAAAACTTTTTTTATTCAATAAGTTATATTTTTGTAGGTATAAAAATACAAAGTGTGCTAATACATTAAATTAACTTTTTAACTTCTTAAAATTCCAGAATACAATATATTTTCAAGATGTATAGAATATGTACAATACAAACTAAAGTTCCAAAACTTTCATGTTAACCCCACAAGGTAGAAAAGGATATTATAAATAATAAAATTATGAAATCTACTAACCATAAAGGCAGGCAAAGTAAAACAATCAGTCTCATTTTAAACCGTTCCAAATGGCTTGGGAATAATCTAGAAATGCATTTATAGAACAAACTGATAATGAAACTTGTTTTCAATTTAAAAAGAAAGTGTTAGCTGGCTTATCTAAATGTGCACAGGCCTATTTACGGGGCCCTATCTTTGGTCAAACTTTCACATCTTAAAAGAAAAGTGTGAAGTTCCTAAATCAAAGTTATTTTTTAATATTAAATATGTTCAAAAGATAATGTATAATTGGTTAAAGCGATGATTAAATATTAGCCAAATATAAAGAGCACTTTTCCATTAGATCCTTCTATACTATAGGGTACTTGTCAGACACTTTGTATAGGCTATATGAGTGCAAAATTAATTAATCCTGTGAAGCTCCTGAGGGGCTCATCTGTCCAGGGGGTCAAAATCCAGAGTCCAAACTCTGGACTTTAAGGTTAGCAAGTGTCTGCTCAACTGCCTGACAATGCCATCAAGTAAAAAATGGATTGAAATTCTAATTGATGTTATCAATTTAATAATTTAACATATTGAATTATTTTTTAAAAGCCAAAACAATTTGGTTTTTTATCACAGACACCTGGAGACTTTTGAATAAATTTTTAACATTTTTTTTTTCAATAAATTGGGGTCTGTTGTCTACATATTAGTACATATCATAGGAAGTGTAGCTGTTAGAATTTTTCTAGAATCTCAATCTAAGATCTAGATCTAGATGAATCTCAATCTATCTACTAATTTAGATCTAATAAAAAAAATATGTAGACCTGTTGAATAGGCCTAATAAATAAATTTTGAATTTAATAATAAGAATTAATTAGGCTAATAATAGGCCCTATATATAATAATATAGGCCTATAATAGATCTATATATAATATATTAGGCCTATTTTTTAATTTACTTTTTTAACGTTTAGGCCTTAGGCCTAATAAATAATATTAAATAAAGTAATCTATCGTTTTAGGTATGTAAATTCGCCCGCGGCTAGTAATGTACAAAAATGTCAAGGCTTTAATAGAAGTATTCTTATATATTTGTGTCAAATATTATAGATAAATGAATAATAAACCTAATTCAGTGGCTAAATATATCAATATAGGCAAGAAATTAACTTTAAACAGCAGTGTTTGCGAGCAGGATTTGCTATATAAAAAGTGGCCATCTGAGTTAGAGTGGCTTCCCCTGAATCTTGCGCTATAAGTTTACAATTTTAAAAAAATAAACAAGAAGGCTGCTATAGTATAGTAAATGAGCATGGTTGCATCTGTTGGAAACATCGCTAGTCTTCATTTATTACTGAAAAGTTTTAACTCAGTTGTTTAAATTTATTTAAAAACAGGTAGGCCTAGGCCCTACATAAAATCATTAATGAAACAACTTAACAAGGAGACATTTTTGATATTTTTCAAAACATAAATCCTCCTCAAAATGTGAAATAATTATTAAAATTTAAGGAGTCACCTGTTTTTCACATTACTAGTCGCGGGCGATTTTACGTACCTAAAACGATAGATTTTAGATTTTTAGTTAATTACTATATCTAGATCTAGTAGTAGTACCCTCTATCTATACTCTATCCTTAGATCCTAGATTAACAATTTCTAGATCTCTATACTATTATTAAACTCTATTTCATTTGTCTGGCTTCTTACTATCTTAGTAGATCTAGATGATTCTTCTATGAATCTAGATTAGTATATATATATCGCTAGACTCCGGATCTAGAGTTTTAGGGCCTAAGTTCTTAGCGGCTGCAGTTGCGATCAGTTAAATAAACTAGAAACTAGGCTAACTCTGAATAGAGATCTAGATCTAGGTCATAGTATATAATATCAGCTGACCAACAAAACATTACCCCATCAGTTTCACTTTAGGTATTTTTAAAATTACAGAAAATAGCCAGATAAAACTACTTTAAAAGAAATCAAAATATTACTTTCGAAATCTTTTTATGGTGGTTTCAAAAAGTAATAAAATAGAGTAACTTTTCTTTTCAGCTTTTCTTTTAAGTTTGTAAAATATTTTTTTTAAAGAATAGTCCATTGCTGTTCTTCTCTCAGGTAAGAGACGAATTCAATCTTCTCTTAACGTATCAGTAGACCTATCACTCAATCAATTCAATAGTCATGTTTGTTAATTTATTAACGATCGCCATTTAGATATAGATCAAATTTATTCAAATTTAAATTTCAAATTTATTTTAAGAAACGGTTACAATTGTAGGCACGAAGGCCTTTTTTCACATTGGCCGTTTAAACAAATAAAACAATTCAATAACACATAGCAGTAACATAGCACTAAAAATGTGGAATAAAGAAATAATGTTACAAATACAAAATGAGATTTTAAAAAAAAGAGAATATAATAGATGAATGAGAAATGTTACAATGAGTCAGAGAGGTCAATCTAAGTGTCTCTATCAACTCAGATGAGATTCTACCTTGAACTTTTCATCTTCTATTGTACAATTCCTTTGCGCTGTCCCGCTGTTGAAATATGATTAGTATTAATGCCAAATTGCCAATGCTCATTGAACGAACGACGATCTCACTGCTAAGCGGTGTCCTAAAATACTAATAATTTTTTCGTAACCATAACTGTAACGTCAAATTGCTCGCATATGAAATTTGCGTTATGCCTACCAGAGGCGTAGCGACCCTTCCCGGCGCCCGGGGACAAACTTTTCGATTTGCACCCCCCCCCTCGAGATTTCGATTTGCACCCCCCCCTCAAACTTTCGATTTCCACCCCCTCAACCTTTCTTTCAATTCATATTTCCAACCCAGTTTGGCGCCCCCTAAGGTCGGCGCCCGGGGTCATATGTACCCCCCCCCCGCCCCCCCCCCCCCCCCTCGCTACGCTAATGATGCCTACTGCTTTTCAAAGCACAATGTTCACGTTCCTCTCGTATTTCAAAGCAACATCGCTCGTATCTCAACGATTATAAATGCTGGATAACTCTTATGTCGACGTACGACTGTAGATGTGTGACTTTGGAGGTCATTTAATAAGCGACGTCACACTTCTATAATGGGAAGGGGGGGGGGGTCGAAATTTAGTGACGACATGCGGTGGACGCGGAGGGAAGGGGTCAGAAACTGTGAAGACACACTTTTGCATTTAGCATCTTCCATGCTATTTTCTCCGGGGGGGGGGGGGATTTGAAATTTTCGGGGGGGTGGGGGGGGGGGGGGGGGGGTAGACTTTCTTCGGGGGGGGGGGGGGGGGGTACTGTTAAAAGTATATATTTTTCTATATACATTTCGTTCGGGGGGGGGGGGGGGGGTGAGGAGGATAATTGAGGAGGAACAAGGAACAATAAAACCCGGGAGCTGTGCGGAGCTGTAGGTTCTGTTATGCTTATCCAATACATGTTTGAACAATGTATCTGTTACACTCATTTATTAAATGATTTGGTACCCTAACACTACATATTGTTGCTAGGATATAAGAGAAGTACACACTGCTAGTCCCTAGGGGGTTATCCATAAATGACGTCACGCTTTTTTGACGATTTTTACCTCCCCCCTCCCCTCCGTCACACATCGTCACAAAAAGCCAGACCCTCCCCCCCTAAAATGACGTAACACCTCAGCCTACAACCCCCCCTCAAAATTGCCGTTGAATTTTTTTTTTTTTTAAACATCGATATTTTTCCAAAATCTTGTCTGAACTCTGTCAAAATAGAGTATTTTAATCAATTCCTATTACATTTTATTAAAACAGTTTTCTAAAACGCGAAATAAGGTTTAAAAATTCGTTTTCTAACATTGCTTTTTTATAATGCAAAAGTGTGACGTCGCACCATTTGAACCCCCCCCCCCCTCCCCTCATCACATACCGTCACAAAATTACGGACCCCCCCCCCCTCCTCCCTACGAGTGTGACGTCATTTATGGACGACCCCTAGATGCGGTTTCTAGTTAAATCTCTACTCCCATTACTACCACTGTTCACAATGTCGTCTTGTCTATATCTGTCATATACTCTATTCTATATTTGCAACGATACGAAGATCAAGCTTAAGTAGACAGGATTTTAAAATCTGGGACTTTGTACTTTCATATTTTCTCTACTGGCTGTATCTAATATATATCCGACCAATCCTCTCTTAAGCTTTATCAAACGTCAAACTCTTACATGCCTCTTGTGCTCCACTCAACACAACCACCACGTCTAGTTTTCTCCGCCTGTTATTTTGGTGTTCATTTTAAATATTCAATATTTATTTATTATTTATTGTAGTGAAAAATTGATGGTGATGCGAATGAGAGCGTTTTGTTGGAACGTCTAATTTATAATTTATAATTAATACTCTGAAATGTGTATGTTCGCTTACCCCTAACATTACTAACAAACTCTATACAGTGTAAAAAAAAAAGGAACTAAATTAAGAATCCTTGTAACTAGTGCCACACGTCTATTTCTCATCCATCACTAAATCTGTTAACCTATGCGACTTAGTTCGTATAATTAATTTAATGACATGATCTCTATTCTAGTGCAAGCTAGTGATGTAAAGACGCAGTGGCGTAGCGAGGACGGGTGTCACCCGGTGCGGCACTTAATGGTGTCACCCCCCAGAGGCGTTGCGACCCTTCCCGGGGACAAACTTTCAAGTTTTCGATTTGCACCCCCCCCCCCCCCTCAAACTTTCGATTTGCACCCCCCCCCCCTCAAGTTTTTCTCTATATATTTTGCTATTTTTTGCCTTGGTGTCACCACCCTAAATGGTGTCACTCGGTGCGGTCCGCCCCCCCCCCCCCCCCGCCCTACGCCCCTGTAAAGACGTACATGAAATAGACTAACATTGTAACGTCGTACATTATCACAAGTGATCCAGCTTCAAGTAACTCAAGTAGCACTTGCCATCAAGGAAACAGAATATTACACTGTTGTTATTCTGTGTAAGGCAGAAACTATTGTAGTTGAACTAAGTAGTATGGAGATATTGGAGAGTTTGTAGAATATATTGAAATTAGGTAAAAGGTTTATGTAGCAATAAAATAAATATTTGTATGAGGAATGTTGTGCAATATATAGTAATATACTGTGGATGTTGTGTAATATTTGGTAGTGTACGTGAATGCTGTGTAATATTTGGTAGTGTACGTGGATGTTGTGTAATATTTGGTAGTGTACGTGAATCTTGTGTAAGATTTGGGTAGTGTATGTGGATGATGTGTAATATTTGGTAGTGTACGTGAATCTTGTGTAAGATGTGGTACTGTACGGGGAAGTTTTTTTCAATAGCTAACACCAACAGCTGTCTGTGAGTAAAATAAAATTACAAGGAATTTTTTTAAAAAGAATGTTGTGTGAAGCATCTTGTTTTTTTTTCTATTTTTAGTTAAAACAATTTTAAGCCATTGATGTTGACGTTATTAGTAATATAGATAACGCGACGTGTTTTGAATGTGATACAGACAGGAAATAGTTGTTTTTAAAGCATGATTAAAGCTCTGTGCCTATTATGCCAATGTATACTTTATTTGGAAAAGTTTTGTAAAAACGACATTAAACTGTACACAGCTGAAAGAATAAACAATGAACAAGTGTAACAAAATTCTGGTATGTGAAGGTCAACAAAAAAATCTGGGTTGTTCTGGTCAACAAAAAAATCTGGGTTGTGATGGTCAACAAAAAAATCTGGGTTGTGATGGTCAACAAAAAAATCTGGGATGTGCAGGTCAACAAAAAGCTATGATGTGCTGGTCAACAAAAAGCTATGATGTGCTGGTCAACAAAAAAATCTGGGTTGTGCTAGTCAACAAAAAACAATCTGGGATGTGATGGTCAACAAAAAAATCTGGGATGTGATGGTCAACAAAAAGCTATGATGTGCTGGTCAACAAAAAGCTATGATGTGCTGGTCAACAAAAAAATCTGGGTTGTGCTAGTCAACAAAAAACAATCTGGGATGTGATGGTCAACAAAAAAATCTGGGATGTGTTGGTCAACAAAAAACAATTTGGGATGTGCTGGTCAACAAAAAAATCTGGGATGTGATGGTCAACAAAAAATATCATCGCCAGAAAATAGCTGGAGCTGATGACTCGGCACCACGTGACCTGAGGGGGGACTGGCTTGGACCGTCTGGGTGATGACTGACAGGCGCTGCACCCGAATCTCATCCCTTCTGAGCTGATCAGATCTGGGGGCGTTAACCGCTTGGTCTTGGGCTGCAGCATGGGCGGTATCCTCTGGTGGGGGCGCCACTTGGGCACGGCACGTGACTTTATCCAGAGAAAGACGACGGCGGGATAAGCTTTTCCTTCTTGGACTTGTGGCTTTCACCTGGTCCTCTCTCAAGCTGACGACGTGTGGGTGTTGGAGTGTCGGCCCGGCGCCGTTGGGTAGGGCGGTGTCAACATGGGCCACATCATGGCAGGTTGGGCCACTTGGGGTTGATGGTACCAACTGGTCGCTGGTCATACTTGGAGCTAAAATAGATTCAAATAATGGATTTAAAAAAAAAAAGAAAGACACGATGTATCACTAAGGAGCATCCACATTTAAACATAGTGTGGGTAGATGCTATCAAAGGAGACGTACTATCTGGCGGCAAATGGATTCTCAAGTCTGGTGTTTCTACACCCGGCTGTAAATCTGTCGTCTGTACCGATGGGGGTGGAAGTGAGGGTGATGCTGTAGGGGGCAGTGAGGGTGATGCTGCTGGTGGCAGTGTAGGAGATGCTGCTGTCTGGGAACACGTTTGATGCGTCGCGCTTGAAGGCGTACATGGCACACTTTGGTCTAAGGATAGGTTGTGGCCTATCAATACAAGAAAACAAAAACAAATTAAGACTATATAGATGCAGCAAACAAAGCTAATGTGTTTTTAATTAAAGCATTAAATTCTCTACTGTGCTAGAGTGAATGGAACAGATAAGAAAGCCAATACACACGTTCAATGTTTGGAGTTGTTGGCACTCGGGAGTCTGCAGGGGAACATGGCGGCGCACCCTGACTTGCTTGTATTGGGGTAGAAGTTGCCAGCTCAGGTGTATGGAGGTTCGAATTGGCCAACATCGAGAATTCACCAACACGTTCCAACTGGGACTTTAAAGAGATTTTAAAAGATTATTATAATACCCTGTAACATTATACCAGTATAACTTTAATATTTGAATATACCACCGGTATAACTTTGGTATGAAACACTACATCCGGAGCTAATGCTAGGCTGCTCTTACTGTTTTACGGGTCGTCCTTCAATATAACGTCACATGTATGGGGGGGGGGGGCGGACTTTACATTTTAGCAGTTTTTTTGTGTGTATTTTTTCAATTATAATTTTTTTTTGTGTAAACGTTTGTGTTAGTTGTGATTCTAATTGATTTATGCTAGATCTATACAACAAATGATAACCCAGGTTTTGTAAGAAATCAAGAATTCGCTGTATTAAAAAAACAATTATGGAGTTGTAGGCTGTATTGTGAGGGTTTCTGACTTTTTCTAACTGAGGCAATTAAAATTTTAATAATGCGTGATAGGACAATTTACAGGGACAATTTGTTGGCTAACTTACAGACAGTAGTCGAATTGAAAACTTTTTTTGGACAACTGAATGGCTGGAATTTCAAGGGGAATTGTTACTTCATGGGCCAGTGCTTCTTCCAGCCTTTTTTCTCCGGTTGGGGGCGGGGGGGGGGGGGGGGCACTTGATATTTTCGGGGGGGGGGCGGACACTGGTAAAAGTATGTTTTGTATATAAATTCCATTTCATTCGGGGGGGGGGGGGGGGGGAGGGGGCGGTAGATTTTCTTCCAGATGCCTGAAAGAAACTCTGTTCATGGGGGTGGGGGGATGGGGTGATTTTCTTCTATTTTATAATTTTCTCTGCTGAATGTAAAGTGGAAATGTGAACTTTTCATATCTAAAATTATGGTACGCCACCAACGCCAAAGTCCACTTTATCGAGAGTTCACCTTTTCAACGAGATATGCTGGTCGGCTAGACAGATTCCATTGCTTGTCTTTCATGCATCCCCCCCCCCCTCCTGAGCACGTATCAGACGAAATAGGAAAATTCAACTAATTCATATAGAAAATAGATCTAGATCTATATAATTAAACCACGTCTGCACCCCCTCCCTCACTCACATTGTTGTATACTTTATTGACTAAACACTTTCCACTGGAACTTCCAAATCAGTGGGTGTTTTTTTTTTCAAACCAGTGATTGTGAAAACCTTAATTTTTTAAAGAGTATCATCATAAATAATAAACAATCGATTTAGGTATGTTTTTATCTTTTTTTTTTGTATTTATTACATTTAGTCTATGGGGGTCGTCCATAAATGATGTCACACTTGCAGGGGGAGGGGGGCGTAATTTTGTGACGACGTGTGACGGAGAGGAGGAGGTAAAATCGTCAAAAAAAGGAGTGACGTCATTTAATGACATTTATGGATGACCCCTATGAGGGGCGGAAACGGAGAGGCCGCACACAGCTAGTTGTCCCCATCCTGGTCACTAGAATCTGCTTCTACTTTAAACAAAAGCACTACGCAGAATCAATAACTACTAATAATAGATCTACAATCTACATAAATCTATTTACTATTTACAATCTAGATCTAGAAATGTAGATCTAGATCTACATCGATATAGGCTACAGTCAACAGTCTGGTGCGTTGCAGTTGCAGGCGCATTTCAAATAAGATCTTGATCTAGAAATCTAGATCTAGCCCTACCTAGTACCTAGATCTACTAGATCTAGATTCTAGTACCTAGATCTGGCAATCTAGATCTAGAATCTAGATTCTATGCCTTATTTCATTTCACAAGGGAAATCAGTACTTGAGGCAATATGCACCACTTCATCTAGACTAAGCTTTAAAGTACAGACTAATGATGGAGTCGATAATTACAATTTTTTGGTATTAAACCTTTCAATTAGCCTAGCTTATAATTGCTAAAAATTTAGGAGATAAAGAATATGTTACAATTTAGACAAATGTAAATTAATAAAGCCTTGTCTTTTTTCGTCTTCTTTTTTAATTCAACCCCTGTTTTTATCAACGAAAAAGAACCAATGAACTGTTTGGGAAATGAAAACTTCCGGAAATATTGCAAGAGTTACATGTAGTGATTTCTTTGATTTTGCTTATTTTTAGAAGTTAAATGTAGTTAAATGTAATTAATGTAGATCTTGTATGTAGATCTAGATCTAGATCTAGAAAACTACATAGAAATCTAGATCTATTGAATATTGGACTTTTAAAATAAATTTCTAGATCTAGATCTATAACTCAAAATAAATAAGCTTTAGCAAAATTTGAAAATAATGAATAATGATTTAATAAATTTTAAATTTAATACAAGTTAACAAAAATTATTTAAAAATTAGTTTAAAGTTTAAAATTAGATCTACTAGATCTAGACTAGATCTAGATCTAGGCCTAATAAAAATTATTAAAAACTTTGGCAAAATCACGATATTCGATAGGCCTATATATTATATAGTAATATATAGAGGAGTTTACACTTTTCGGACACACACCAAAAATTACGTAGGAGCGAACACTTCGTCGGTTTTTGGCTCATAGAAACTTTAATTAGCATGTCTCACGCGAAACCACGGCGCCTGCACGTAAACTGTTCATTTATGAACACTTCCGTGTCAAGTACTTCCGTTTCCTTTCTCAAGAATTATTTTTAGAAATTTTTTAACGTTGCATGGTACGCACATTTCTATTTTTACACCAGCCGGATGAAGTGACCTAGGGTTGGACTTAGGGGCAAAACTTGAACCAATCAATGCTTAGCTAAAAGGTTACACTATAAATAGCTTCTATATATGTATGGAACATCATAAATGTCAAGGTTAATGGGTTTTTTTGTGCTTGAACAATAAAAAAGGGGTGTTCGCTAACTTATTTGGCCTTACATGGGAGCGGACAGCAACACAAAAATATTACTAAATAAGAATTTAGAGCATAAAAGGGGCTGGTTATTGAAGGGAAAGGGTCAAAATAAGGTCAAGAAGGCAATGGAATGCGAAAGAGGAGGGGGAATCATGTGACCTGGCTGGCTTAGCAGCGTACTGCGCAAGCCGCAATGGCTGAATGGGATGAACTTTGGGAGTGTGGGAAAAAGGTTTTATACTATTAAAATTACCCCACAAACAATCAATAACACAATATACATGCATATAATATATGTTTTTATTCATTAAATTGACTTTAAATTATTCTAAATGAACAAAAAGTGCTATGTCCGATGACGGGTGAAGGTGTCCGAACACATGTAAAACTGTATTACATGTGTTCGAACACACGTTAAGACCCCCCAGTCACTATAACAAGAATAGCTTAAGTTCTATGCGTATGAATACAAAATGACACACACATTATTAAAGTAGAATGGTTGCGGATAGATATGATATTTTTTTTTGTTTTCTATGTTAAGCGGTTACTGAATGATAGGTAATGTCTGTGTTTAATATGACATTATGTTATCAAACTAGGAAATATATCTCTTTTGTATGGGTAAAAAAATCTTGTTTACACATTATTTTGTGTGCTATTGCTAGAAAAGAGTAAACTTAACCTTCATCCTTAACTAAATGTAAAGATTCCTGTTTAGACCTAGCAATCAGCTGGGCAGATGCAGCAGAGTTCATGTTTCTTAACCTTGGCATGTGGATGGCACCAAGCCCAAATGCCTTTACTTTCCCCAACATAAGTAAGGTACCCATGAGAGCTGGGTGGACTCTAGGAAATCCTACAGTCACAAGCCCAAACTGAGGTCTGAACTTGAGACCTTCAGGCTAGCAGACCACACCATCCCTTTTAACTAAAAGTATTACTATCACAAAATACATCTCTCACTTTCTAAAATTTAATTTAGCAAAACTCCTATTTAGTGAAATGATTGCTTTCTTAATGTCTTTTGAATTTTTACAGCAATAATTTAATAAAATGAAAAGCCAAGCTAGAACTTACTCCACCAGAAAACCATTTAATAAAATATCATTGAATGAGAGCTGTGAAGCAACAAATAAAATTTTTAACCCTATTTCTACAAAAGGTAGGATTACACAAATTTAACTTTATAAGTAGAACATATTATTAAGGTCAGAATTTTAAGAAAAATTGCTACAGTTATTAAAATTGTTTTGTTTTGCAATACTGTTTTTGTATTAAATCTAATTATTAGATTTTTTTTTGTTGCAGAGAATGTTTTTGAAGACTCTGTTCTAAAACATCTTGAGGTCAAAAAAGCAAAGTAAGTAGACAAAAGGGGGTATTGTTGCTTTTGCTAATATTAGTAAATAAATGACAAACATATTTCCGTAGAAAAATTGTTAGAGGAAATATTTTAAAATTCTCATAAAGTTTTTGCATCTAATAATTACTTTAATATTCGTTCAAACTTTTAAAACTATTAAACAAAAAATTCTTAACATTAAACAGTATTTATAACATTAAGTCACTTGATGTTTTCACCAGTTATATTTTAACAATGTAAAACAATATGAACTTTGAAATAATGTGTTTATATTATTCATTTAATATGCAGAATCTAAAAAATAAATAATTTTTGGTATATTTTATAATGTTTTTTATTAAATATCCTAATGTGTTCTCATCTATTTAGAAAAAAAAATCATAAGAAGAAATCAGAGCTTAAAAATGTTATCAAGAGTACAGTTGAGTTACCAATTGCTGATGAATTATTTCAACTTGATGAAACGTTCAGTAGGAAAGTAAGATATTTTTTTTTAAACAATGAGTTGTATTTTAATATAATAAAAAAGATTGTTTCAATATTTAAATTTAGCTGAGTGGAATTTTTTAAACACTTTACTTCTGTAATAAATTAATCAGTATTATTAAATCAAATTTTGGATTGCCATGCCATATATTTTTAATAATTAAATTTTACTTTACTTTTGATGGTAGCCAAATTCTTTATTTGTTTTAATAACGTTCTATATGTTATAATAAATGGCAGAAAAATGAATAACTTTTGTTTTGTGAATTGCAAAAGTGTTGTAATTTATAATTGTTTTTTCCTGCAGAAAATGTCAAAGAACAAATGTAGAAAATCTAGATCAGCAAAAATAGTTAAAAAGTTAAAAACTGCATCGCATAAAGATGAAGACAGTGAGAATAGCTCATGTTTACTGGATTTAGAGAATCAAAATGATATAGAGCTGCTAATTGAAGGCTGTAATGATGATATTCAAGCTTTAAAACAGCTTGTTGTCAAAAAGGAGGAAACTAGCAAGTTACAGTTTTACAAGGAAAATAATAATCAAAATACTGTAGGCCCAAATCAACCAGTAGACCTCCAGCAAAATGACCTCAGTGTGGAAATAGCAAGGAAAAGTGTTGGTAAGTTACATTATTCAATTATTCTTAGGGGAGTAGGGGAAGGATCACACCCCCTTAGGACCATTTTTTGTAAAGCCATACCTGTTTTATAAATATATGCACCAACTAGCACTAATAGAAAAATTGTTCCTAATTTTTTTGTAATAAAGCAGGACACTAACCTTGCCCTGAAAACCTCTTGCTTGTTGTTTTATGGTACTCTTGTATTTATTACTCTTTGTTTAGTTTTATGAGTAGTTTATTTAGTTAAACCTTTTTTGCTGTATTATTTTTATTCCAAAGAACCATGTATGAAGTCCAACAACTTATTTCAATGGAGTCCTCCGGTCCGTATAGAATACAGTGATGATGAATCGTTGGATGGTACACCAGCTGGCAGTAAAATTCATCTAACTGATGAAGTAAACAAAGATAATGCATCAGAAACTGGATGGGTGACTGTTTCATGTACACAATTGTTTTATGTCAACCCTTATAAAAGGATATGAGATGGTTCTTAATATGACTTACAAAAAATAGAGATGTATTGTTCAAACTACCCTGGTCATACTTCATTACTTGACTTAATGTTTGTTGTTACAGCCAGACAGAGGAAAACTGAAACATTTTCTACAGCAGCAGAGAGCAAAAAGGAAACAGCATCTTCAGTATATGTGTATGATTTAGTATCAACCTACACTTATGGTTCAGGTGATATCATTAATATCAATTTTTAAAACAAATAGTCCAGTATTTTTTTCTCCTTAAGAATTGTATTTAAATGACTATGTTTTAAAAACTGTTTTGAAGCAAGTCCTGTAGTATTTTTTGGTAACTTTGAAATGAACTCAATTTTTCAGGAGATTCCAGCTCAACCTCCTCAAAGCCTGCTCTCATGTCCCCACATGTGAAAATGAAAAAGTTGAAACCAAGGTTAAACTCAACAACATATAGGAATAAAAATGACATTGGGATGGTTGAGTTTCCACCATCATTGTCACCTATTAACACAGAAAAAAGTAAGTAAATAAAGAAAATATTTTATTATAATGTATGCTTAGTTACTAATAATAATGTTTTGTGGTTACATTTAAATAATGTTTTTTAGTGTACGGTTATATTAAAAAAGGGGAAATGTCTTTATAGTATATTGTTTTATATACCCATAGAGTAAATTTTAAAAACATTTTTTTCATAAGTGTCAACTTTTTAAAATTTCTGCTGGTTAGTTACTTCAAATAAGATAAACTCTAGGAGTAAAGAGCAAATTATAATAAATAAATTATCACGTTAATTTTAAACTGTAAAACATTGCTCTAGTGACAAGATATGGTAAGAGAAGGGCTTCTGCTGCAAACACTTGCCATTTACCAACTTTTAAGCTAGGTAAAAAAAAAAACTGGTTGGTGATGCTTTGGTAAGAGTTAAATTTATTTTATTGCAGGTTGTAGTTATGAAATAATTACTTTTTATTTCTCAATAGCCCCAACAGTCAGGAAACTCCAATGTGCCAGAAGCATCAGGTATGGTCTATGTGTGGCATATTTGTTGCAGTTTACGCGTTAACAGTGTATTGATATACATGTAACTGTTACTGTATAATCAATATTTAAATTATATAACATAGTAAAAATATATTGATTGGAATTTTTAGAAAACTATCAGAATCTTGTCCCACTAGAAGAAGTAAAACACCCAAGTGCTCTACTATGTTGTGGATGTCAGATTCTAATACTCAGACCATGGAACAGCTTGGGTTTTCTACAATTCCCCAAAGTATCAACACTATGTCTTCTTTCCTGTTTTGTTTGCAAATTTAATTCAATGTTTGTTTTTATTTTAAGTTCTCCTGTCTAATTTAAATAATATAAGAGCAGAACAAAAGCTGGTTTTGTATCAGCCCAAACTGTTGTAAAGGAAGTGTATAGATTTTATAATAGCCATACCATATTTCCTTTCCACTTTAAATGAAAGAATACAAGGAATGACGTATCAATTTTATTCTATCAAATAAATTGTTATATTTTTGTAGCATTTTTCAATAGTAATTTGCTGTTAGTTTGGGCTTTTCCTGTTTGAACAATGATAAACGAAAAAGTATCTTTCCTTTGAGATTAAGTGCTGAGTTGAGAGTTACATGGCTAATGTAGCTTATGCTGCATGTTGTTTAACATTAATTCTTTGAAATTAATACTAACTAATTGTTCCACTAATATGTTTAAAAATTATTGATGATTACTAAAATAAGCCAAAGTATCTTATGTTTGTGACAATAGAAACATTGAATGTTTTAATTGTTACAATATAATTATTCTATCAATATGTCTAAAAAAATGCAAGGCTAAATATTCATCATGAGAATAAATTTATCACAAATAATTGATAAGAGGTAAAAAAAAAAAAAAACTTGCTGTGAGTAATTGCGGAAAAAAATAAAATAGCTAGTAACAGCTACCAGATCTAGCGCAGAAGATTTACATAAGTGACTATCAAAATTTTGTATCGTGATAAAAAATTATTTTTGCCAACAGGTTGTTACCAAAGTAAAACAAGCTTGAACCTGACAACAAAGAAAGAAATTCAACCTTTGGCTGCTGAGTGTACACAACCTGTGATTAAGATGGTATATTTTTTTTATTAAATGTATAAAAATAAAAACAACTAGGCCTAAATATTGGATACACTATAATTCTAACTAGCTCTAATAATTTTCTTAATTATACTTTATTTTTTAGAAAATGGAGAATCAACAAGCTAATGTTATGAAAACAAGCACCCCAGAGAGTAATCGTATACCTGTGTCTGTAAGTATGGAGCTGTTGGGTTTATTTCTCTTACCTATGTTTATAATATCAACAACTAAAAAATTTTAATTTCCACAGTTTGACATCTCACCCATAGAGATACCAACTTTGAATGATTCTGAGTTTGGTTTTCCTTGCCAAACAAGTACAGAAGCTGTTACAGATGAAATCATAGTGCCTAGCCTGTTAGAACCATCTGTTTTGAGCATCGATTCTCAGCACAACAAGGCCAGTATTTTATATATTAAATGCTTACATTGCTCCTGTAAAAATCAAATTTGTACTAATTTGACCTAGCTTATTCCTTTTTCTACTTGAATCCACCAATCTTTCTAACTTTTCATCTCTACAATACATTTTAATGCCTGAGCACTGTCAACTTCTGGCTTTGCTTACAACCTGTCCACCAGTACTCTATTTTCTCATCCACTCAGCTCTGATGTCACTTAGCCCTTACCCATATAACTTGGCCAGCTCCATATTCATTTGGCAGGTCATGCACAATGATGACTTAAGTCTGTACACTCAAAAACCCTTAGCCACAGTGTTCGGCACCAGTGCTGAAGCTTTTAATTATTAAACTTACTTAAATTATTAATACTAAATCATATTTAATCATTTCAAAATACGTAATTGATTATTTGCTTGATATTTTTCATCTCATTGGTTAGTTTGTATTTATCCTTGTTTTTTTTTTTTTTATTAATGCTGAATATCCTTTCAAAGTATCCAGTTCTGTACATATTTTAGAGTCATCACATGATTTATTAACTCATTTTTATTTTAGCTTTGCAATGACATCAATGATCTTCCTAAAGTTCTGGCATTGGCCAGCTCAAGTGTACTGGAACAAACAGGGAGAGAAACTGTAGTCTTGAGTAGCTCCACTCCACAGAGAAATGTAAAGAAAACAAAACTAAGCAGGTCCAGTGTAGAACAAAAAGAGAGAGAAACTGTAGACTTGAAGGACTCTCTGACAACACAGTCTGTTGGTCCAAGCTGTGACAAACTTGTCAAGTGTAGTGTTCCAGAAAAGGACATTCATTTGTATGAGAGATTTTCCCAAGAGAAAGTTGAAGACTCGCCATCAGGATGTTCACATTTCTTGAGGAAATGGGGGCAGAAAGGAGCTCCCAACATTTGTTGTATTAATTTACTTTGTATGCGAAGTCGTGCTAAGATGTGTTCTAAAAAATCTAAGTTTTAAATTATGTTGCAAAATTTTGTTTACTTTACTTCTCTACATGAATGTATTTTACCTTTCATTTATTAAAATCTTAAAATAGTTGTACATTAACATTTTTTTAACAAGTAAAATTTTGCTGAAGTATTCGTGAAATTATTTATAAAATACAATGAATTTGTATTTAAGTATTTGTTAAATCATATTGACATTGATGATATTGTTCATTTTAACAAAAGCTGTTACATTTTACCCCATCTTTTGTTTAATATGTTTACTCAATTAAATTGTACTAAGAATATTGGCTGTATATTAATTTCTAAATAAAATATTTTTTTCTTTTTTTTTTCAAATTTCATAATAACAAAACAATTGTAAGTTAGAAGTAATTGCTAATATGTTTTAGATATTTTTTCGAGTGAAGATTTGACCCTTAGTTTACATCATGTTCTTCCACGCTTATAAAAGCACAACTGTACATAGCTTTTTTTAAAATACATTTACTTTAAAAGTAATGTGATCTCCTTAACTCATATCCTCATTTGAGATTGTAATATTTAAAATACTACATTAAAAGGTTAATGTTTAACCTAATATTTTTGCAATTAAATAATGTATTCAAGACTATAATGTGTAACAAATGTAAATGCAAAAACATGTGATAATTTATTTATGCCATTAATTCAATATTGCAATGAGTTTTCAGTAATAAATCTAAAATATACTTATGATACCATAGGCCTACTGTGTTGTTATGCCAATATAAAAATGTAATGATTGCAATACTTATTCAGTTGACTCTTTGTATAGTTAAAATACTTAATAAATATGATTTTACTAATGTTAGAGTTTATTCATTAAATCTTCATTAACAATAAAATGTCATTTGAACATGTGAAATCAAACTTTTTTATGAAAATTTTTTTAAAGTAATGTTTCATTGCGTACATTTTTTGAAAGATAACGCTGTTCATCATAGTTAAATGCAACTAGTGTGCCATTTTTTTACCATAATTATTTATTACTCATATCAACCATTTGATGATTTCAAACATGTCACAGCTGGTATTTATTAATGTGATGGATATGGTTTTTACTTAAATGTTACTATTTCAACAATCCCTCAGACAGTCATATTTATTAATAAACTTAAAAAAACAACAAGAAAAGTGTTAATGATTTTATTGATTTCAATCATTGATAGCATGTCTTACATTTAGATTTTATTTTCAACCAGTCCAACCTACAGATTAATTCTCCTTTCCTTAATTATTTGATAATTAACAAGCATTTTCCTATATCTTAACCTGTAGTAAATTTTTCTTACTTCTGAAAAAATAAGTTTTAATTCTATTTCAACCATTTGTAATGAATAAAAATATAGGCATATTTTTTTTAGATAGAGCATTGAAGCTGATCATGCTGTTATAAAATATACTGTTTCCCATGCATTTACTTCAATTTTTTCCCCTTCCCTTTAGATTTGGCCAAAAGTGATGGATCAATCTCATCTGGTGCCAGCCCTTTGACAGCAAAAAGCCTGGCAGCCCTCTCTTCAAGTGTACCACCACACTTGAGTCCTCTTGCCATCAACTCAGTCTTTAATCTTTCCAGTCCAAAGCGGCAGAGTTCCTGACTGCTGGTGATCTGATCCAGATCAAGAGGTTCCAGTGAGGCACAAGGCTGTGCTGATGGTAATGGGTTATCACTTTCTCCCTTGTCTTTGGTTACCTCCAAACAGCTGTCAGATGATGAATGAACTGAACCATCAGCTGTTGTGGAATCAGTTGTGTCTTCTTGCAACCTGGGCTCTGTTGATGAAGCTGGACTTGAGTTACTGTCTGTACTACAACTAGCGCTTTGACTTGTTTCTGTCTGTACCTTGAGGCCACTAGTGCTTTGTGATGAACACGGCTCACAAGGTTGGGCTTCATTATCAGAGCCACTTTCTAAATCATCTGAGTCCAATTCTACACCCAGCCTAAAAGAAATGTATGTTTTACAAACTTTAATTTTTTTTATGTTTATAACTAATACACAATATCTAAGCTCTTGGTAACTATGTATGAGCTCCAACCTATTAAGGCTTTTTTGTGACTGTTGAACAGATAGTTCTTTAACTGAACAATGTATACCAATATGTAAGAGGACTGTTTATGTTTACAACTAATTAAACATCGTGTGAGATAAATAGGTGTGAAATTCTGACAACCATGTATTACAGGGCATGCACATTTGACCTTTTGACAACAACCTCTTCCTCAAGTTTAATATTTATTTAAGGAAAGTGAGCTAAGGATAAGCAAAGTTAAGTTTTGCCGGAGGAGGGGAGGGGAATAATTATGTGAATATATCAGGGGTGGTGGCAAAAAAATATGTAATGGGCAATAAAAGAAATTTTAAAATATGGCCACTTGTGATTCTAGTTAATGCAACATTGTTTTTAAAAAGAGGAGCAAAGTTATATTTACCATTCTGCCTTTGACTTTTTGGTTGAAGAAGCCCCACTTGGTTCACTTTTGTTCTGCTTTCTTTTTAAACCTAAGAATATATTTTAAATTGTTGAATATTTTATATAGATCAATAGCATTTTAGAATTAACTGCCTATTTATATAAGGCCCTAATACAAAATTAAAACTAAATTTAAAAAAAAAATAGAAAATTGAAACACACCTTTACTTAGTGCATCTTCTAAATCTTCTTGTACTTTAGCTCTCTGCTCATAATATTCTTTATCCTCAAATTTGTGCTGATGTGAAGTTAGTCGTTTGGCAAGACGGTCCTGTTTTCGCTGTTCCTTCTCACGCTCTCTTTCTGCTTCTTTAGCTAGCCATTCCTTTAATCTGTTATAAAAATAATTTACTATTAACTTTTTAAGACCAGAATGATCCTCCCAGTGTTGGGTCAGCCATTCCCCATACCCATAACAATTCTTTTGCTGAATCAAGGGTTTTAAAGGTTGTTTTTTTTTTGTTAATGACATGGTAAGAGTGGCCATTTCAAGTTGTGCTTACTTCTTTCAATTGTTTGTATACTTTATTTATTCATTTTTATACATTTTTTCTAAACAATTATATCAGCTGGTAAAATATTTTGCAACATAATATATTTGTTCTAATACTAACCTGTTTTTTATGGGGAAAAAATACTGTAAATATTTTCATTACTAATCTGCTCAAATCAAGTGTATTTTTTTACCTAGGAAAGTTTTTTATTATCTGTGATTCTTGATTAAAATTACATTTTGGCAAAAACTAAATTTTTTTCCTCTATCAATAAATCATTACATTAAATTAAAAATAATGTTCAAAATGTAATAATAATTATTATATATGCTTGTGTGCATATGTTACAAATTAGAAAAATATTAAGCTTTTTGCTTCAAGGTGCCTAAAAAGTTAGGGGGAATAAAAGAATTCAATGCTAACCATGAAAATAATTCCAGGCTGGAGAGTTAAATGGTCTACTTTTTAAAGTTTTATATAAAAGCTAACCAGTTTCATATTTTGTACAGGTTTGACACTAAACCCACTTTACACTAAAACATAATTTTCATAAACACACACATGTTCATACATACTTCTTTTCATTATTAATATCCCGCATCCTTCTACCACTGAGATCTCTGCATGCCTCTCTACTAGTTGTTTTTTCAATTTGAGCTCCAATAGCACGAAGCATAGATCCAAAGCCTTTACAACAAAAAAACAACATTTTGATTATTTTGAACAACTAAATTAACAAAAAATAAAGAACCAAAAAGTTAAACAACTTGATAAATTAGAGTTATGAACTTGTTTGTAGTATGTCTAATTAATGGTAAAATAAAAAATTATTAAAATAGAACGCATAAAATAGAAATATAATAATAAAATACAACTAGCTCCATTGTAGATCAGCGTTTTAAATATAAAATGAAAGAGAAAATGAGCACAAACCTCCTTTACCACCAAAAACTCTCGGAACAATGTGATATATTCTGTCATCCTCCAAAATACTGCCTGAAGAAACTTTTCGACCATTGCATAAAATGTAAAAAAATGACCTCTCTTTTTCCTGCAAGGAAAAATTATATAAATTTGATATGTAGCATCAAACGTTCGTATATTAAGTCGTCATTTATCCTGAAAATAGTAAAACCAACAGTTTGAAGTAAAGCACATGTTCCAGCCTGTCATGCATCTTTATAGTTTTAAAAAAAAAAGTTACAAGGTAAAAATGTAAGCTAATTCAAAGGATTGATTCAAAATATCCCAATTGCTTTATGCTGATATCTAAATCAATGTGAACTAATTTTGACCCCTTGCCCATGTTGGGATTTTTCTCCAGTTGACAAGAAAACATGAGCTGGCGATCACACAGGTGATGATGTAATACCTAGAATTAGTGTAAATTACCTAGATCTAGACCATGGGTTCCCAACCTGGGGGTCGCGAAGGGCTTTCTGGGGGGTCGCCAACTGGTAGACTAAACTCTAGCAATGAATAAAAAACATAAATATTTAGAAAAATATTTGAAACGAGCCGACCCGCGGCATATCATACGCCGCTATTTAGTTGTTGTTTTTTCTACTTTTCAGTTATTCATAATTTGTGAATTCGACACTATCAACACTGCCACTGAAAATATTTCTTTAAAACACTATAAGTAGCTCGGTAAGGACGATAACCCCCCCCCCCCCTTTCACCCCCACCCCTCCGTTAAAGTAAACTCCACTTAGTTACCCCCCCCCCCCCCCCTAAGTTTAAAATCGTTTCAAACTAAATTATCTGCCCCTAACGGTCTTCACTAAACCCGGCTGTGTTTGTAATGTTTGTAAACATAAAGAGTGAACCACAGCTCACCAGACCATGTAGGGGTGGGGACGGTAGGGAGCGCGTTTGCAGCTTGTTTTCTAGCGGCTCCCAAAGAGAATTATATATATAGATTCGGCATTACTAACATCACTGGAAATGGAATAGAGAATAAACAATTTGTACTGTGCAAAGTTGTTCTTAGTCAAGAGTCTATGAAAACTTCCAAACGTCAATTTGAAACGAGTCATTCGGAACACACCAAAAAAGATATGTAGTTCTTTCGTCGGCATTAAGCTAGTTGCAAACGTCAGAGACATGATCGAACAGAACGTTTTCACCAAGAAAACACAGCATTAGCGCAAGCATCATATGAAGTAGTATTAGAAATTGCCAAGCAAAAAACCTCTCACACAAAGGAGAAAAATCTCATCCAACCATGTATGCTGAAGATGGTAAAATTAGTTATTGGGGATTCCAGTGCAGTAAAGATGCAACAAACATCTTTGTCTAATAATACTATGCAGTGGCTTATGTTAAAAGACAAATTTAGAATGAAATCAAGATTTCAACATTGTTTGATTTTCAAGTTGACGAATCGACAGACGTGAGTTTGTGTTCGCAAATGCTTGTCTTTGTGAAATATATTCATTCAGATGTTAGCAAATAAGAGTTGATGTTTTGTGAAGATATCATCGAGAAAATAAATACGTTTTTTGAAACTGGAGGATTAAAATGGGAAAACGGCTGTGGGGCTTGTACGGATGGTACGTCATGTTTGGGTCAAAATGGGGGTTTCAGAAAAAAGTCAAAGGTAAAAGATTTAGCTCCCTAATGAAAGGGAATCCATTGCATGATTCACCGGTATACCCTCACCAGCAACACTCTTCCGACTCCATTGCTAATGCTAATAAAAGTCGTAAATCATATTAAATCTGGAGCCCTAAACACATGTCTGTTTCAAGAACTGTGCAAAGACATAAATAAAGATCACGAGGTTCTACACTTCAGTACGCTGGCTGTCAATAGGAAATGTCAATCGTGTTCTTGAATTGAAAGATGAAATCAAGATGTTCTTGGAAGTGCAAGGAAACAAGACCTTTTGATATACTTTAACGACATGGTGTGGTTGGAGAGAGTATCATACCTAGCAGATATATTCGAACATCAACCTAAGCTTAACCTGATAAAGGAACGAATATTATCTCTTTTCATGATAATCTCTTGGCATTTTTATCAAAGCTGCAAAATTGGCGAAGAAAAATAAATATTTGAAATACTGCCTTGTTTGAGAAACTCTGCAGTGTGGTGTGATAGATAACATTTTAAAAGGATTCTGTGCATCTTGAATCTCTTGACAACGAACTGCGGCGTTATTTTCCCCGAGCTGAAAGAAGAAGAATCTGCATTGTCACCCTTTCTCTGCTTTCCTTGATGTTACCAGCATTGCCAAGGAATAACAAGATGAATTCTTAAATTTGCAAAATTTATTTGTTAATTTTGCTCATCGTATTAAAACAGTTATCAAGAATAATTCATATTGAAAGTCTACTAGAAAATATTAATTTAGTGGCTATTATTTTCTTTACTAATTTCGACTTGTTAATTATATTGGGGTCGCGGGTCACTTACGTTTTATGAAAGGGGGTCGCCTTTCGAAAAAGGTTGGGAACCACTGATCTAGACCATTTAACCATGAAATGTCTAGCAATTTTTATCGCAATATTTAATGAACTGAGTTGACTAATTGACGTCACGCTTTTTAAACTATTTTTACCCACCCCCTCCCCTGTCACACATTGCACAAAAAGCCAGTCCCCCACCTAAAATGATGTCACACCTCAGCCTACAACCTCCCCCTCAAAATTGCAGTTGAATTTTTCTTAAAATACTATACTTTTCCAATATCGTGTCTGTACTCTGTCAACATAGAGTAAACATTAACATTAATAACTTAAATAATAACAATTTAACAAAACAACTGGTCTGACTCCTTTGCCTTTGGTTGGTTAACTCAAGTTAACTGAATGACTGAACTGAATGAATAACCTGACTCTCTTTTCTTAACTTACTGGTAAAACATGCTGTAAAAGATCTTCAACTGGCTTTGCAGATAGATTCGAAAAGGACCAACATTCTTTGGTTGAACAAAATGTAACATAGACAGGCATTTTATTCTTTAAAAATAATGTTTAACTTTAAAAATCGGATACCCAGATTAACTCGGTTGACAGTAAACAAGTTTATCGCTACTATAAATAGTATTGTGCGGTCTAAATAAAGCTAAACGGATTCAACCAAACAATGCCGAATTGAAAATCAATCATTTTTTCGTCGTTGAAAATCAGTGTTAAAGGAATTACGCGACATGAATGTAATTACACGAATTCAAAGACTTAAAGAAAGCCAAGGGGTCAATTTTCCATGCCATATAGATCTAGATCTATGTCTGTATGAATTAAAATGGCCGGCTGTATCGGCTAAATAAGTATATATATAGGCCTATAATATACAGTGGCGTCGCTTGGTCGGGTGTCAGCGGTGCGGCATTTCGTGGTGTCACCCCCCCCAAAGAAAAAAGTGTATATATATATATATATATATATATATATATATATATATATATATATATATATATATATATATATATATATGTGTGTGTGTGTATGTGGTGTCGGCCTACATAGGCCTATAATACATTGCCTTTTTGCAAAAATTGTTAATTTGTACTTAAAAGGCTATTTAACTTTAATGAATCACTAATGAGTCTGACGAAAAAAAGGCATTTTTCTTCTGTACTTTTTGCAATTTTTTGCCTTGGTGTCACCCCTTTAAATGGTGTCACCCGGTGCGGTCCGCACCCCCCGTCCTCGCTACGCCTCTGCCTATATATACTTATTTCAAATTTCGTTACACATTCCATTTAGCATTGGTTGTTAACTTACCAGTATATTGTATGAACTGATTTTATTATTATAAAATGAAAGCTTTAAGTATATAAAAATATTGTTGCTAAATTATAAGTAATCACTGTTGAAAAAAGATCTTGTAATTGTCTCAATAAACCGCAAAAGCGCAACTAAATCTATTAAAGTAAACCTGATAGCAGAACGTTATTTTTAATTGTTTCTAATTTGTGAAATCGTAAGAAATCTTCCATTAATAAATATACACCTGTAGGGATGAGGGGATCGGTAATTTCATGACAGTGATGTATGATGTGGGGGGGGGGGGGGCTCATTAAGTGTGACGTTAAACTATTGCATTCAAAATTCAAAAATAGGTAATGTTGGGAAATAAATTTTAGCAGTTATTTCGCGTTTTAGAAAAAATGTTTTAATACATTGAAATTGATTAAAATAATCTATGTTGATCGAGCTCAGTCAATATTTTGATTAAAAAAATCAATGTTTAAAAAAAAAATTAGATTGGTAAGGGGTGTAGGTTGAGGTGTGATGTCATAGGGGTGGGTGGCTTTTTGTGACGATGTGTGACAGAGAGGAGGGAGAAATAAAAAATCGACAACATGGAGTGACTTCATTATGGATGACTTCTTAAATTAAAATGCACTTTGTTACTTTTTGGCTTAACACGTTAGATATCTGCGAATTTTCATTACATGGCATGTCAATGAAAAAGATTTGTGTAGAATTTAAGAACAGTATACGTGTAATAAATTTTGATTTGACTTTATTGATTGTATATTTTTAGTTCCAAACAAAATGCTTGCAACCACCCCTATTTATTATAATATTGTTTGCTTTATCAATTGCGGAAGACTTAGTTCCAAGCAATTACGTATGAAGCTTAACTTTCTTAAAAATCGCCCTCAATTTTAAAATTATTTCTCTAAGTTTTAACTTAATTTGACAACTAGTACAACCGATTGATAAAAGTACCAGATAGCCAGATATGCATAATTAAAAAGTAATTTAAAATGCAAAATACTCTAAACTAGATAAAATATATAAATAATTATAATATTAAAAATACGTCAAATAATATATTTTAGTTAAATAGCTAGCATAAAAATTAACTTTTCCTAATAAATAATGACTAAATATTTGTATTTTGAACTAAAATAATTGTTAAATAATATTTTGGCCACATTGGCAGTAATAATAACAAAACTCCAACACAAGTTATTTTTTTAAACACATAACAAAACAATTAATTGTTTTAAACTTATCTGTGTTCTATCTAACATTCAAATCATTCATGTCTTATACATACATTTCTTAGTTACTTTGGCAAAATAATTACAAGTTTGTTTTACTTAATTTTGTTTTCAGTTTTGCTTTCAAGGAATATTGTTTTGTTATTAATGGTCTCCATGGTGATATATCGTTTACCAACAAACATGTTTACTTTTTAGTTATATTGAAATTCGCTGCAAAGACTTTTGTCATAATATGAATAGATTGATTATGATAAAATTATAGTAATAATAGATTCTAGAAATCTTGATTTAGAAATATTCATATATATTATATAATATCACTACTATCAGTATCAGTTCCGTAAGTTTTAAGCTTAGAATTAAAATAATAATAAAAATAATAATCAATAGTAATATTATTATATTATTAATATTTCATTGAATCGTGTATTTTAGTTAGATCTAGATCTTCAATCTTCTAGATCTACTAACATTTTTAATAACAAATATTTTAAAGTTTAAGCTTTTATGTTAGGGCTTTAAGTTTACGCCCATCTAAAAACTTAAATATTAAATTAAAACTTCATTATAATTTTAAAAAGCTAGGAGAAGTCAGTCAACTTTTCACTTAGTCTTCTATTCTACTATAATTAACAATACATTAATACTAGACCAAATTTACTTTTATTAGCTGGATAAATATAATCATCAGTTAATAACTAATGATGAAACCTTATCTATATTCTAGTAATAAATCTATATTTTAATTCTATTATATTTTATTATATTTAGTGCCTATTATTACTATATCCTGTAAACAATTATATTGGAATCAAATCCTGATCACTCAGCAACTAGATCTACCAGCCCCATATTAGCTTGAGAAGGACACACTCTAACAATAGTTAACTTATCAAAATTATTTATAATGTATTTTTGACATGGATGAAAAAAAAACATCTGCCAGATTATCTGGTCTTTTGCCTTTTAGTTTTGGGTACAATAGCCTTACATTACACAATCAATGCACATAATTAAATATTACTTTATTATAAATTATTACCTTATTTTTTTAAAATATTCATAACTATGTACCATGCAGTTATGACAAAAAGGTTTTTGTGTCTTCTTAAAAAAATTCTTCAATTGTTTTAAAATATGTTGAATGATAACCATAAAAACACATAAGTAGATTTTTATAATCACATTATTTTAATAATATTGCAAAAAAAATTATCAAAACTTCCTTTGAGAGCAAGCCAGGCTGATGCTGTTATTATTGTTGATTAGATAGTATGGATACCTACCACACAGTGAGCTATGGGGAATTATTTTACTATAATTTAGTTCAATAATGCGATTTACTATTTCCATACATCATTATTAAAAAAGTTTAATGAATTAGTAACGAATATTCACTTAAACAACATTTGACAAAGTAAGTCCTAGTTAGATACAAAGTGGACCCTTTTTTAAAAACTCTAATTTATGAAGGATTTAAGGTATGGGTTAAGGTTAGTTTCTGTAAATATGTAGGCTATACTGGATAGATACCCGAAATTTCTTACAAAAAAATAATAAATGAAGCAAAAAGTCATTGTATTTTTAAACTCCTTAATAATATATACATTGAAGCCTACTCTTCCTAGATCATGTTTAACTTGACTTTTTGGGCACAATGTATCAGTGTATTCATGGAGTAGCTTAGATTCCATTCAACTACAAGCTTATTATTATATATTTACAATAAAAAAAGTCTGTGTCTTCATTCTGTGAAAACATTGAACTAACTCTTTATGTCTAATGTTGCTGCAATGCAAAAATAGCCACCCTGAATTAACACTGTAGGCTTATATATTATACGAGCCGACCCACGGCATATCATACGCTGCTATTTAGTTGTTTTATTTTCTACTTTTCAGTAATTCATAATTTGTGATTTCGACAGTACCAATGCTGCCACTGAAAATATTTGCTTTAAAACACTATCAGTAGGTCGTTAAGGACGATACTATCCACACCCTCCTTTCCCCCAACCCCTACACTACACCCCCCCCCCTGTGAAAGTAGCCTCCTCTTAGTTACCTCCCCTAAGTTTAAAATCGTTTTAAACTAAATTATCTGCCCCTAATAGCCGTCACTAAACCCGGCTCTACGATTGTAAACATTTAGCGTGAACCACAGCTCACCAGACCATGTAGGGGTGGGGTGGTATGGAGAGCGCGCTTACAGCTTGGTGTTTTCTAGCGTCTCCAAGAAGAGAATTATATATATAGATATATATAAAAGTGTCAAAGAATATAAATGCATTTGTATTTTACCAGTCTTTATTTTTTTTCTTTTCTTAAAAATTTGTTTTCTTTTTACATAGTTGATTATCAATTTTCAATCATTTATTACTGGTAATTTTTAAAAATATAAATTGTGTGTGTTTTTCCATTTATAAATTAAATGCCTTAAATTTAATTCTAACTTCTGGTCTTTCATTTTCCACCTAGGTATTGTTCAGAATTTACTATGATTTATATTTTTATCATCACATAGAAAGACTAAATATCATATTCCTTTTTTTCAGATAAAATTCATTGAGAACAAAGTTTTTTCATTAAGGAGTTTGTCAGGGACATCAGTTCAATCTCTGTTAGACAAATGTCTATTTTTTTTACAATTTTATTGCATGTAGAAATATATCTGATGGTTTTATTATGTTCTAAACAACTTACAACACTTGAATTATACAATGATTTCTTTGAAAATAGCACACAGAATGTTGCTGTACAAGCTAACAATACAAGGCAACAAGCTATGCCATGCAATCAAAGCTTTAAAAATAAAGTAGATGTCTGTAGTGTGCCAGCAAACATTGAAGACTATGGAAATTTTAGAAATTCTCACCGAGCTTTAATATTTCAACTAAACGAGATGGATGTCAAAATATTTATAAAGTCTCATCAAATTACTTTGCCAAATGCTAGCATATTTTTCAGCTCAAAGAATAATAATGTGCCAATTTATCATGAGGACATTTCTAAAAATCTTCACTCTTTTTACTGTGGTAGCTTTGTGTTCAAAAACATGTTTTTTCCATTCACTGCTAAGTTGGATGGTAAAAAATTAACAGGGACTGCAGTTTATGAAAGTTTTCTTTTCAAGATACAGTGTTCAAAGGTGATTGAATCAAATTTTCATCTTATTAACCACTGCTTTCCATGCTATATATCATGTAATGAAATAAAGCCAACAAATACAAGCTATAGCCCTTATGATATTCAACATTTCTTTAAGGAACCTTTTTATTTCCATTCAAAGCAGAAAACTCAGCACAAACCACAACCAGATTATTCCAACAAAAGGTTCCCAAGGCATGAAAAAAGAGACACTTTAAAATTGCCAAAACCTTTGAGCTGCTCTTTACATCTAGTTGGAGATCACTTATTCTTTAAATACATTGGAGCTGGAAGTGTAACAAAATCTGTCAATACTATGTTCAGTGTTATTAATGATGCAGACTCATTGTTCCGTTCCTCTGATTTTGATGGAGATGGTTATGGAGATAATGTTGGATTTATAGTAGCCAAGGTATCAGTCTATAGGCATGAAAATGAATTAGGTTATCGATTATCAAAATCGTATATGACATCTGATGAATATTTGAAACAGTTTTCATATTATGATTTTGATGATGTTTGCCTTGGCATAGCTTTTACTTTTCGAACCATGGACGGTGTTGCTGGCACAGCCTATCCTGCTGTTGCTGATGAATCTCTGCCAGGTGGGATATGTGAAAAAAGAATAAAAATCAACTCTCACATTGCCAGCTTCAACACAGTGATTGTCACTTATTTAAGTAATGGCATCAAACTGAAAAATGAAGATGTAGTCTTGACTGTTTTGCATGAAATTGGTCACAGCTTTGGTGCTAGGCATGATTCATCACCTCAGTGTTTTCCAAATGACGAGGCAGGCAATTATATCATGAACCCCAATACAAATCCAGGAAATAGGCCAAACAATAGGAAATTCTCTGTCTGTAGTTTAAGATACATGCTGCCAGTAATTAAAAAGAAAGGATCTTGTCTTTTAGAAGACAATATAAAACCTCATTGTGGGAACAGTATTCCTGAAGCAGGAGAAGAATGTGATTGTGGAATATCAACAAACTGTTTGTCAATTGACCCATGCTGTACCCCAGCTGATTTCTTAGGGTCAGATATGCCATGCACAGTTCGAAGGTCAAAGGGAAAACAGTGCACGCCCAAGACACAATCCTGCTGCTCATCAAACTGCTCTTTTGTACCAGTTTCTGAAAATTTTATTTGCAACACTCTGGACGGTTGCTCTGTGATCTCAAAGTGTAATGGTCTGGGTGGTCACTGCCCTGTGAGTCATGCCCAGCCTGATGGCACTTCCTGCAACAACGGACTACTCGTGTGCAAGAGTGGAGTGTGCTCAGAAGATGTTTGCCACTACCACAACATGACCAGCTGCTTGTGCTCTCACAAGCCAGACCAGTGTAAGCTCTGCTGCAAGCATGTCAAAACACAGGTGTGTTCTCCGCTAAGTAGTGCAGGAACCTACATTCAACATGATATTGGTGTGCAATGTTATGACAATGGATTTTGCAGTTCCTCCCACTCCTGTTCCCAAATACTTTTAAACTCGCAAAGAGAAGATGAAGGTTTATTTGGATTTTCAAGTGAAAGGGAGTTTCAAATTCATGTTGCGAATTATTGGTTTTATTATTTGCTAATGTTAGTGTTTTGTTTATTTATAATAATCATCTTAACAATTTCATACCAATCAGATGATGTGGATTATTTAAAGGCTCTTAGGTATGGAAAAATGTTGGCTATCTTTGCTATAGGAGAATATCAAACTAAAGTGTATAGAAAAACTTTACTTGAGATTGATGAATATTACTCAAACGTTATAGCAAGAGTTCAAAACCAGAGTCAGCCGTTGGAATACACCGAAGCACTTGGGAGATTAAAAATGTTATTCCCAGCAGTATCACTAGAATACTTGTCAAGGATTGCCAAAATAAGTGCTACAGAGAAGACAGCAATCACGATTTTGCTGATCCAGGGATTTAAGATGAAAACATTTGGCTATTTTACAAGCATTTCTACGAGCCCAGAGAATCGAAAAAAACTAAAAAGTTAACAGTCCTGATACGATTCATTCTTTGTTGTATGTGCTTTTTGGACAGTCATAGATCACATCTACAATAAAGCTAAACATCACTTAGCAATCTTGGATGGTTTTTAAATGTTTTTATCATTTCTTTTTTTTTCTAATTACTTTTTTGGGGGGAAAAAATGTAAATGTGCACTATAGCAAGAATGGCTCTGAAACTAGCCTGAAAGTACCCAATCTATCGCAATCAGGTGTGATTAACAATTTTTCTTTAACTTTAAAATTTTTTTTGTGTTTAGGACAGCCTGTGGATGCTAATACTTTACCATGAGAAGAACCCAGCTTCTCAGTTTTGTTGATGCCAATTAGTACTTACTAAAACTGAAAAAATGATTGTAATTAAAAATGAACTTAAAAGAAATTGCAAGTTAATAATATTTATTAGCAAAATGTCAATTCAGCATAAAACCCTTCAAAAGCTCATTGATACATAAAAGTTGCCATACCAATATAACATACAGGTTATTTGTTTTTAATATACATTTAAATACATTACCAACAGATTAAAATACATAAAATGCAACAAGTTACTTAAAATTCACATTTCTAAAAAAAGTTCAATAGCTATATTTCAGAAAAATAAAACAAGGCCAGTGAATTTTTCAATATGTAGACAGAAACATCTAAAAGATATGAAATAAAATACAGTTTAATTCAAAAGATATATACAACACTTCACCTTCCCCATTTATTGCTGCCATTGTGTACAGAAGTAATTTAAACATCTCATTTTGAGTATGTGATCGTTTTAGGATCAAAGGGAACATAAAATGAAAGCATGTCACTGAAATAGCTTCCATCATTGTCGCCTCCTCCAAATACAATAATTTCATCTTCCTCTTGGTTTTCATAGCTGGAAGGCAAACGTAAGCACCCATGGCCAGCACGAGGAGAGGGAGCATTATCCAAAGCCAACTCTAGCCACAACTTCTTTTCTAAAAAAAGATTTTTGAAATGAGAATTAAATTAGTTATATTTATCATAAGTGCATACATGTCCTTTAATCTTGACAAAGTGCTAGATGATGTTGATTAGCTAAGACTAAGTGTGAAAACTATGGTGATCAAATATATTAAAACTGATCAACTTCAACCCCAGCTACCTGAACAGAACCTTTTAACCATAACCAAAACTACAATCAATTGTTACAAGATTTATCAGAGCAAAGTACTAAATAAAGGAAAATTACCTAAATCAAAAATATAAGCATCATGAAGAGCAATGTCACCATCATAGCCACCATGAATAAATATACGATCATTTGAAAGTGCACAAGATGCATGCCAACTGAAAAAAATTGGTGAATAATTTCTTTCAATAGTAATAAAAAAACAATGTACATTTTTTAAAGCAAGACAGAGGTTAGACAACTTAGGATGAACAAACAAAAGGATAGTGAGATAGTTGTATTTAATATACTTACCTTCTAGGCTTGGGAGGACATCCAGTAAACTTTGGTGAAGACCAATCAACAGTGGCTGTAGTATAACAAAAAACAACAGAATAAATCATTGTTCAAGGAATTTAAAATCATGATGTTTAAAGAAAAAATGTATCTTGAAATTGGAGTGTAATAAATTATCCATTCTAAAGCAAAAAAACAAATAATAGAACACCACCATAAAAATTTTATACAATAAAAAATGGAAAATCCCTCCTATGTATTAAAGTCATACTTTGAGACTTAAGAAAAATATAGTTATTGAATAATTTCACTTAGAAAACACCAAGATCTAATAATGGGGAGCACACAAAATTTCAAGAAAAAAAATGTCCCAAGCTATAACCAATAAATATCAATCTATTTGAGACAAATGCATATCTTTCCACTAAAATTTAGTAATATCTAATAAATTGACAGAATACTCTTTAAAATGTGAGATGAACCTACCATTTTCCCCTTCAACATACCAGAAGCCCCATAAAATTATGTCAAAACAAACCACCCTCATTAATTCTTAAACAAAATTAACTGTTACATTGTTTTCAGTGTCTTTTAACCCTTACACCAATGTCTCATCTATAATATAACACAACACTGAACAATAATATACTGTTATATACTTACTTAAATCCAAAATAAAAAGGTCATTGTAGCAGTAAGGAAAATCCCATCCCCCAAATATAACCAACTGGTCATTGATTAAAGTGGCTGAATGACTGTGGGAGTCAATTCAAATATTCGATTTAATATTATCCATATATTAGAATACATCAATATAAAATAGTTCTCATAAATAGTGTTAATTTTTTTTAATATAGTGAAAGTTCTACCAATACCAGCAGCTGAATATTTAACAAGAAGCTTACAGGAATTTCAACTATGTCTAACATGTTGACTTTACATACTTATTAGATGAATTTTGATCATAATACAAGATCTTACAAGATATAAAAGAAAAAAATGAGATTACCCAGAACGAGGCTGTGGCTTATCTCCAGTAACAATAGGATTGTACCAGCTCTCCATGACAGGACTGAAAATATGTACTTCATTATCACAACCATCAGGTTGGGGGTCAGGTCGAGGGAAAACACCCCCAAATATCCAAAGTTCATGTCTATACAAGCTTGCACTGTGATATGCTCTGGTTGGTGCCTTGCCATTAGCCTATAAAATGAAGAAACATCAGACAGATTTTAATTTGTAAGACCTTAAAAAAAATTGTTTTTGTAATAATTGTAAACAAAAGTAATTAGTCATCTCCCATTTTATAGGGGGGGGGGGGGGGGGGGGGGCGTTTGTAACAAATGAGTTAAGTAAATATTGGACACTAGAATTTAATTTCCAAAAAGAAATTTACCTTGACTAAGGTCCACTTCTTCTCATCTAAATCAAACATATGAACATCATGAAACCACTTCGCATTTTTTGAGCCACCATAGATGTATATGCATCTCATTGTTGGGTCATATGTTGCGCTGTGGCCAATTCTGTATTCAGGCTTAGCCCCCTCTGTTACCACATCTGGACATTTCCAGGTTCTCATTTCTAGAGAAATAACAGTTATATTTTTAATTGGATGAAAAATAAAACACCACATAATGCTGATTATTCTGTGTAATAACAGACTAGAGACAGAACTTAAATTACCAGGATCAAGAACCCAAATGGAATCCTTGCTAAGTTGTTTATCACCTTGTCCACCAATCAGAACAGCTTGTTTACTATTCACAAATGTCATGGTATGACCCCATCTATTACTAGGCTTTGGAGCTGTTGATAAATTTAAAAAAAAAAAAAATTGTTTATTGAAAGTTCTTAAAAAATGTTTATAAGCACTCATTTCAATCCAAAATTTTTTTATTTAAATTTAATTTAAGACTGATAATTCTTAAAGCTTACAGATACTTTACTACATAGACAATTGTTTAAAAAAAAAGTTTACATCTGGCAGACAAATCGACACATCTCGTTATTTTCCCTTCTTTACTGATTTCTTTGACAAGATTTGTATCACGTGTTTCAGACACATTTGATTCAATAGCCATTAACTTTTGTTTTGATGGTGGCGATCTCTCTGTTGATAAGGCTCTCATGGCAACTTTTTGTCGTCTAGATTTAGGCTGAGGTGTATTTTCATCATGACGCCTTCTCTTTTTGTTAGGCTTGGTGGGTAAAGGTGAACTTGAAAGCATTATCTTGAAAATTAAAAATCTATTTATTTTTAATGACTGCATAAAAATTTCAATGAAAATTATTCTTCAAGGAAAACATAATTTTGGATAAGTATTAAAAAGCTGCTCCGTATACTTGAAATTTGTAAAATGTACCTCTGCTTGTGGTGTAGTTTCGTTCTCTTTCTGAATATCTGGCAGGTTGGATGCAACAGGGCTAGATGTGATATCATCAGCTGTATTCTGAGGAATTTCGGTTTCAGACAAGACCACTGCCTCAAGACTAATTGTACTACTGCGCTTTAAATTTAAAGTGTCCAAGTCACTCAGTGTTGTAGAAAGATAGCAGCTTTAAAAATAAAATAAAATATTTTTGTTAACGTGTTCACTAAGTTAAAACCTGAAACTTAGATATATATTTGCCTTATTATCAACTAACCCTATTAGATAAAAATGTCCTAGTGATTTAAACAGGTTATAAAAATTAACCTCATAATAAATTATTTTGAATTACCTTTTATTAAGGCTTAAAGTTAAAGAAACATCTAGTGATACATAGTTTATACAAAAATACTAAGACCTTAGAAATTATTATAAAACTTAATAAAACCAGCTTGTAAAATAATAATTAGATCTAGTAAATATACATTACAACTGTATTTACCGCTGAGAATTAGTTAAAGTACAAAGTTTTTTGGGGCTTTGTTTTTTCCCACATTTGATGCTGATGTCAATGTTCTTATCAGTCCACTTTCCTTGAGCAAAAACTACAAGCTGTTCAATCTTAGATCCTTTTGGAATATTACAGCTGTAACTGTTCTCATTTTTTGAGCTGGAGTAAGAAAATTAATACAGTATATTTATTTCAAAAACATTTCAAAAGCCATAGCAGCCCAAACTCAAATTTTCTTATCTTTAAGTCTACATAACATTTTATTTTGACTATAGGCCTAATATAATTAGGGCCTAAACCTGGAAAAAATAATAATGTATGTCATAAATGCTTTTTAAGGCCTATTTCTTTACTTTAATACATTCCAAAACAATTATTTTAAATCAACTCTTTAAATCGCCCTGTCAGAATATTAAAAAAAGAAGAAGAAAAAAAAAAGCCTACACTTAGATCTATATCTAATTCTAATCAATCACCTAATAATTTTCTAAAGTGTGGGAAGAACTGCTCCCCCCCCCTGATTGGGCAGCATGCATTTTAGCATAGTAACTAGTTTATTCTCAGATTCACATTAAGTTGAACATATGAGATGTTAGTAATTAGATTAGAATTAGATCTAGAATCATAACATTGATTAAAAAAATGGCAAATAGTTGTGAAATAATATTATTTTAATTTAAATACAGTAGGCCTATATACTACTATACTGAGAGTATGCCTATACTCAAGTGTCAGTATAGATAGTGTATAGGCCTACAGTTATAGAATCTAGATTTGTACAAGTCAGTAGTCTCAGACTACAGTACAGACTTTGGCAGTAGACTAGATATAAAAAATTGTAGTGACTAGGGCCTACTCGGAAATTTTTTTCTCTCTCCAACGTCTCCACTTAGATCTAGTCGGCAAAAGATAGTTCTGCACATGCGCAGTGACATATGCCATATGGCATGGCAATATGGCTAGGATTAGGGTTCTGCGGTTGTAAACACGCATGCGCAGTACCATCGAATACATCGCAAGTCGTAGTTTCTCTCCATTGCGCATGCGTATCTTTTTCCGGCTAGCATTGTGCTCTTAAAAATTATATCTAGATCTAGTCTAGATCTAGATTCTAGTAGAGTATAGGCGGCATAGGCCTGAACCTGACCTAAAGCCTAAAACTAAAGTCTAACTAAAGTAAAGTTAAAGACTTAAAGTTAAAGTAAGCTAAAGTTCTGAACTCTGAACTAAAATTTGATTTTGAATAATTTTTTAATTATTTTAATTTAATTATTAACTCACTCTTTTTTAAAGGTAACTGGGGCAAATTTAGAGTCGTAAACACATAGTAGTTCCAAATCAGAAGAACTCATTTTCTGATGTTTTTATTCAATCCACAAAGATGAGTTAATGTAGATTAGGCTATCCTTCATCTAGCGTCTGCTTTTCGCGAACTTGTTTCATATATGGCGCGTAAATGTATCACAAGTTTGTTTCTTCGAGCTATCTGCGTAGAAAACTACTATGCATCCAATATGGATTTTAAACTGCTGACATGTGAATTCGCAATTTTTCTGATAAAATCTTAATAATATTGAGTCCAGTGGGTTCGGAAGGAATTTTTAAATGGTATAGGACCTATATGTTGTTGAGTTATCTTTATTGAAAAGTCGAAACCCAGGCTGCCTCACAGATGTTTCGGACCAACAGACTCCCTAAAATAAGGCTCCCAAATATTTGACCATCGACATATTGGCTCCTAAACTTGTCACCCGTAAATAAGGCACGTGTATGCGAGTGCGGTTCCCAGAAAGAACCGCAACGGAAAAAAGCGCAACGGAAAAAAGCGCAAAACAAAAAGCGCAACGGAAAAAAGCGCACACGGAAAAAAGCGCAAAGAGAAAAAAGCGCACACAGAAAAAAGCGCAAAGAGAAAAAAGCGCAAACAGAAAAAAGCGCAAAGAGAAAAAAGCGCACACAGAAAAAAGCGCAAACAGAAAAAAGCGCAAACGGAAAAAAGCGCAAAGAGAAAAAAGCGCACACGGAAAAAAGCGCAAAGAGAAAAAAGCGCACACAGAAAAAAGCGCAAACAGAAAAAAGCGCAAACAGAAAAAAGCGCAAAGAGAAAAAAGTGCACACAGAAAAAAGCGCAAACAGAAAAAAGCGCACACGGAAAAAAGCGCAAACGGAAAAAAGCGCAAACGGAAAAAAGCGCAAACAGAAAAAAGCGCAAACGGAAAAAAGCGCAAACAGAAAAAAGCGCACACAGAAAAAAGCGCAAAGAGAAAAAAGCGCAAACGGAAAAAAGCGCAAACAGAAAAAAACGCACACAGAAAAAAGCGCAAACGGAAAAAAGCGCAAACAGAAACAGAAAAATGCGCAACCAGAAAAAACACAACGAAAAATGTGCAAAAGAGAAATTTAGCACAAAGACCATATGGACTAGATGACACATTTATACATGACTGTTAGGGCTGCTGTGAGAGTGTCGTGTTTGATCACGTGATCTACTACCATTTAAAGCGTACAAATCCCATCTGCATTCCCATGACCACGATACAGGCGATAATCACTTTACACAATGCCTATTATTTTCTTGGTCAATAATTATTCAACTACTATTCTCATATAAACATAAAACTATCGACATTGCACGAAGTATCTTTCACATTCTCTCTAGTCCGAACTACCTAGCTTACAACCCGTTCCTATCGCAAAACTTCACTCTCTTTCATCCGTGTCATCAAACATGCATTCGTCATATTTCTCGCAACAACATTCATTCGCACCAAAATAACAATGTTGTATTTAATATTTTTTTCACATCATGACGCACCTACCTATCTACCTACTACCCACCTACCCACCTACCTACCTACCTACCCACCTACCCACTTACCCACTTACCCACCTACCCACCTACCCGCCTACATACTTACCAATCTACCCACCAAAAAAGTATCGGCGAAGTTCGTAAGTTTCGTAAACTGTACTAGACAACTTTTTTTAAAATGAAAATTCATTGACATCATTGACATATATGTTACATTTTGCGACAACCTTAATTAGTGCGTTGGGCTTGTATGAAAACTCACTTCGAACTAACTCAATTACATGCTATTTATTTTAACATTACACGGTAAGCGTCACCCAACTGTTGTGATGTGAGGTGAGGACAGGTTCGACAATAAAACAACACGAAAGTACGAAAGAGACATAGACTGCCTATTAGAGCATTCTCTTAACTTTCCTAACCCCACCATTTATTATACCCTACCTAACCCCTAAATTTCCTGCGCTAAATGTCACTTCCCTCCCAATCGTTCCTATTCTACAGAATTGTGTATACTATTTATTTACATTCTTTAATCTCAATATAACTAAAATAGACTTTTGTTTGAAGGGTAATGAAAATATGTAAACAAAAGAGACGCTACTCTAAATCTATGCGAATACTTATATGCAGTGGCGTAGGCAGGGGGTAACCCCCCCCCCCATAGACCCTCGGTATATATATATATATATATATATATATATATATATATATATATATATATATATATATATATATATATATATATAAAGTATGAGGGGGTGCAAATCGAAAGTTTGGGGGGGGGGGGGGGTACAATCGAAAGTTTGAGGGGGGGGGGGGGGAAGTCTGGAAGAAACACTGCATGTAGCCTATATAACAGAAGAGCTATGGCTGTTTATTTCATTTTGCATTCGTCCGGTAAACATTTCAGTAAAATACCTTAAAAAACCTTCCATATCCTTTTTATAAAGAAACAAAGAGAGATGAAGTTTTATAATAACATCAGGCTTTGACTTACACCTACTCCAATGGCAGCTACATTGTTAAACTGATTAACTATGTAATGTAGGGCTCAACAGGATCAATGAACTACCCACCTAACAACCTCCGTGATGGGAATGCAGATGGTAGTGGTACGCTTTAAATGGTAGCAGATCACGTGATCAAACACGACACTCTCACAGCAGCCCTAACAGTCATGTATAAATGTGTCATCTAGTCCATATGGTCTTTGTACTAAATTTCTCTTTTGCACATTTTTCGTTGTGTTTTTTCTGGTTGCGCATTTTTCTGTTTCTGTTTGCGCTTTTTTCCGTTTGCGCTTTTTTCTGTGTGCGCTTTTTTCTGTGTGCGCTTTTTTCCGTTTGCGCTTTTTTCTCTTTGCGCTTTTTTCTGTGTGCGCTTTTTTCCGTTTGCGCTTTTTTCCGTGTGCGCTTTTTTCTGTTTGCGCTTTTTTCCATTTGCGCTTTTTTCCGTTTGCGCTTTTTTCCGTGTGCGCTTTTTTCTGTTTGCGCTTTTTTCCGTTTGCGCTTTTTTCTCTTTGCGCTTTTTTCCGCTTGCGCTTTTTTCTGTTTGCGCTTTTTTCTGTGTGCGCTTTTTTCTCTTTGCGCTTTTTTCCGTGTGCGCTTTTTTCTCTTTGCGCTTTTTTCCGTTTGCGCTTTTTTCTGTTTGCGCTTTTTTCTGTGTGCGCTTTTTTCTGTTTGCGCTTTTTTCTGTTTGCGCTTTTTTCTCTTTGCGCTTTTTTCTGTGTGCGCTTTATTCTCTTTGCGCTTTTTTCCGTGTGCGCTTTTTTCCGTTGCGCTTTTTGTTTTGCGCTTTTTTCCGTTGCGCTTTTTTCCGTTGCGGTTCTTTCCGGCCACCGCGAGTGCAACATCGGCTGTTGTGGGCTTTGATGAAAGGACTTATTTTGTCGGGAGCCAGATAAACGATGGCCGTTTGTCATATGGAATTATCACTATTATGGATGCTGGCCCTATAGCATATAGCTGTATTTATGCTGTAATTTTATCAAAGGCTCTTTTGACTAGGCTGAACTGCCGTGGTGGATTTTTAAAATCACGTACGTAAAGCTTGAAATTGTGCTTAGATTCCCCTGATCGTTTCTTAAAAACAGCTTCACCAGAAGTAATAACTAGAATAGCCTACATAACACGCTTAAAATAATAAATATTTTTAAAAAAAGCAGTTAAAGTAGGCCTCTTTAAAAAATTCAGGTGGGGAAATTTAATTTTTGTTATACACACACACATAGATACATACACATATGTATATAGATAGGCTATTGCTTCCCTATAACTTTTTATTTATTGTAGTCTGCTGATATCAAAACCTAGTTTCGTATTCAAAAGGTCCCCCGACAAAGTCAAGTTACACACATCACTTTGTAGGAGGCAGTGTTTCTTCCAGACTTTTTTCTTTCTCCCCGCGGGAGGGGGGGGGGGGGCACTGGTAACAGTATATGTAACATATTGGGATTTGTGAGGTCAGGGGAACTCACTCTTCTTGTATTAGTTATATTTATAATGTTGTTATTGAGTGATGTCCCTTGTATTTATCTATCATTGTTCCTCTTCCGGTTAACTAAATAAAGATGGCTACATGCTGATGGCTTCTATCTCCGTTGTGTATTCCTAATCTATTATAGTATATATTTTCTATATCATTTCATTTCATTCCATTTCGTTGGGGGGGGGGGGGGCTGTAGATGCCTGGAAGAAACACTGGTAGGAGATGGCTGCAAGCGGATAATAGTATAAAGCCGTGACATATCACACATTTTTTTGTGTCACATTCCAGCCATCCAGTAAAGTCTACACTTTACTGAAGCAATAGGCCATACGTTGCAAGTTAACACGGCTGACAGAATCCTCCCTCTGGATTGATCTATGACTCTAGGGTGGAATCGAGTAATTCTAAGAGCCGTCGACTAAAACGGACCAAGTACGTGATGTCCCTCACTTGAGGATTGTGGATGGCTTCTGACGTTTGTCAAAAGCGTGTAACTAGAGTTTCTTCCAGGGGAAGCCCCCCCCCCCCCCCCGAAGAAAGTCTACCGCCCCCCCCCCCCCCCCCCCCGAACGAGATGGATTTTATGTAGTAAACATACACTTTTACAAATGTTGACCCCCCCCCCCCCCCCGACAATTTTAAGAGCCCCCCCCCCCCGGAGAAAAAAGTCTGGAAGAAACACTGCGTGTATCGTGGAAAACTGAGTGTGGAAATGTGACTTGGAATAAGAATGTCAACATTTTCTCTCTTTGGCTAGTACGCCTGTGTAGCCTAATAGATTAAACTGGTACTCAAATAAATTAGGGCACCAAAAATAAATAAATCCCAGTAGGCCTTTAGTTGGTAAAATTTTTAAAAAGTGGCATGAATTAAATAGTCGTAAATGTTACTCTGGTAAGTTATTAATAGCCCCTTTTATTTATGGTCGTTAAAAAAAAAAACAACTAAATACGTGCCGATAGCTCCAGCTATTTAAAATTACAATGCGTTATGTAACGATCAGCCTTGACATTCCAGCATTATAAAATCTGGCTATTATAAGAGTTAGGGCCTACTATGAATAGTTTTTGTCTGTCGACTACCCGTTGGATTGGAAGTTTTGAAGTGGGATGTGTGTGTTGGGGAGGGGGGGGGGGGTTATGGTAAAGTGACTCTGTAGACCAATAGAGAAAAATGTACCTATAAAACCTTACACGTGATCAGACTTGCAGAACGGGGTCCACTGCTAAAGACAGTGCTTGAATAATTAAAAACACTTTATCGAACGTTAATAGTATTTATTTATAGGTAGCCTGTTGGTTAGTAGTCCTAACCTCTGTTGGCCTAGCGCACGTTTTTGAAAGTTAATTTAAATTCATGATTTTTACGCGGAGGAAAAAAAATTGAAGTAGGGGTAGCCATCCGTGTCAGGTGCCTGTTTGTCCTTGGTAAAGTTGGTCATTGGGCTTACATGAGTCAGCCGTTTTTTTTTAGTGGGCTACCTTTCAAATGTTACAACTATATTAAAAAAAGACCAAGGTGAATTGAAATACAAGAAAAGCAATCAATAAGCTTAGAATAAAAACCTGGCCACTTGCCATAACAAATATGTTTTATTTCTAAATGCCTGATCTTAACAGGGGGGGGGGGGGGACTAGACTAAGCAACGTGTTTGTGCACGCTTTAACTAACAAGACCACGTTCTACGAAGAATATAGAATTAAAGTAGCCTAAATAATACTCAGAAGCAGGGAGTGTGTTGGTCTGAAACATTAAAAAACTAAAATCATATGTCCTACACTTACGAGCCCATGCAGCCGAACAACTGAACAAGATACGTGATGTTAATGTTACGCGTTTACGTCTTGTTACTTGAGAATATCATGAACAACGTTCACTCGGGTATTTGTGAACTGTTCTCACATATTATATCATCGCGTGCGCATTGAACACTAAAATTCTACATATATCTAGTAGGTCTATTTAGGCCTTATTCGAAGTATTAGTAAATTATTAGCCCACGAAAGCTGAATAAAAAGCTTTGTAATCATAAAAACAATAACAACAAATGAAATGATTATTTGATTCATCTACATGTTTTCAATGACATATTCGTAAATTGAAAAACTGCAGCGGTGATATCCCTGTTTAAAATTAAACATATGTGTGTTTGTTGTTTTATTTATATTTTTATTTGAAATCATCACCTTTTCCGTTTGTGCCAAAGATACACAGACAATCTATTTCAATAACCTCGGCATACAAAGGGATAGTGTGGTCATCACTATGCTCAGCCGCCTTTGCTTCAGGTTCCCATCAGAGCTGAAATGATTCAAGGACGCCCCATAGACACGAGCAAGGAATGCGAGCCTAAGACATTCGGGGTGGTTAGCAGTCTGGAACTGTTGTAAGTTTTGCGCCGGTTTAACCGTGGGCTCCTGTTGCTTAGTTAACGTGAAATGTATCAAGAGTTTGAGCTATGGCGTTAATATCGATCACTCATATTGACACATGGCAAAATGAATTGGCTACTTGATAATGATAAGGACGATACTCTGCTATTCTTTTAGCCTAGAGGTCGTCCATAAATGACGTCACACTCGTAGGGGGGAGGGGGATACGTAATTTTGTAACGGTGTGTGATGAGGGGGAGGGGATCAGATGGTGTGACGTCACTTTTTTGCATTATAAAAAGCAACGTTAGAAAACGAGTTTTAGCCGTTATTTCGCGTTTTAAAACGTTTTTAATAAATTGTAATAGGAATTGATCAAAATACTCTATGGTGACTAAGTTCTGACAAGATTTTGGAAAAATATCGACGTTTTAAGAAAAATTCAACAGCTATTTTGAGGGGGTTTGCAGGCTGAGGTATGACGTCATTTTAGGGGAGGGGGGGTCTGGCTTTTTTTGTGACGACGTGTGACGGAGGGGAGGGGGGAGGTAAAAATCGACAAAGCGTGACGTCATTTATGGATGACCCCTACTATAAGTTATAGTACCCCGATTTAATTATGGGTAGCGAAGGCTTGTAATTTTTAAGACTAGCCCATGATTCGATTAAAGCTAGTTAGGCAAACAGTTGTTTTTAAATTGGATATTTGAGTGCTTAGTAAAAAAAAACCAATAAAAAAATGAATAACAGCAACTTGAAAATGTGGGAACCGCTGAAGCGCAGTCACTGGTTTAGCCAGGTTTTTTTGACGGTTTGCCAAGCTTAAGTTAAGTAGGCTACGTTATGCTTTTCATCGTGAACACGAGAGTGGCGGGTATTTTTAGCTTTGGGAAAATCGTTAAAGCAATTATTTCGTGCCGCTACTGTTGGCAGGAGAGCATTGCATCTATTCTAAGCAACCTCCATAGGTTCAGGTGGGAAAAAAGTAAGCATATTTGACGAGTGATACTTCGAGGTAAAAAGTTCCCTACTTGTAGTGTAACAAGTAGCTACAACAGCACAAAATGGTTGTGAAGGTCCATGTTATATACTGGTAAGTTAACAACAACCAATGCTACATGGAAGTTGTAACCAACTTTGGGCATAGAAATTCTATTAGTAATAGTAATAAAATAGGCCTATATTATATAATATTATATATAATAATTTTTTTTATCAAACTATCAAATAGAGGAGCCTATTTTTAATTACTTAATCAGGCCTAATAATTAATTAATTAGGCCTAACCACAACCAGTTTGGAAATTTTTATGGGATGATTTTAGATAGGCCTACCGATGTCCGATAATAGACTCTTCCTTAAAATAGGTATGTTGGGTTGTTAACTTGTTAGGAGTATTGAAGTCTGTCTCAACCAATATTATTGGTTAGAAATAAGGGTTAGGCGTTTGGTAGGACTAGGGTTGGGGTTAGGGTACATGGTTAGCATTGACATTAGCCAGCAATGTGTGTATTTAGTTAACTACCAGTAACCTAACACCACTTTTTTAAAAGATTCTATTATCGGACACAGGTATGGAAATTCTCCCTTTTAATTTTAGGTCCCTTTTTGTTATGCTATTAGATTATAATTAGTTTATTTAGGTCCTTCGACTAGTATACAGATGATAGATTAAGATTAGGCTATAGATATAAGACTATAGTCTGTCTATAGCCGATTCTCTTTTATTAATTTTGTAATAATTTAGACAAATTGATCACCACAGCATCACTTTAGCTAAATTAAAAAGTAGGCCTATAGTCCTAACCTAAAGTTATAGGCCTACTTAGAATGTACTTAAAGATAGTGGTGTAAAGTGTCCTATAGTCTCTACACTCTAGAATAGATTAATGGATAATATAATAGGCATACTCTATATTAGATTATGGATCTATAAGCTCATATTCACTTACTACAATTTGGAAGTGGAGCTATTCCCCAAAACATCTTCAGTTACAGCTTATGAAAATCTACTAAAATTTAATCCTGCACATTTTGATAGACCATTGGAGAAATGTTCCTAAAGCACCTACATTACACACATCACCTATAGATGTAACACAAATGGACAAACAGACATTTAAAGAAACATTGCTCAAGTTTTATCTACACAACAAAAACTCCTAAAGAAAAAGTTCCAATACTGGCTTCCCACCAGGATTAAAGATTTTAAAATGTATGTGTTAGTACTGTAAGACTTAAAATTTTTGAAGTGGTTAGAAACTTCAAAAATCAAGGCAGGCTGAAGACATAATTTAATTCCTCCAAATTGACAAAGTTCTAACAGTAGATAAACAACAGGACATAAAACCCATTAAATTAAAAGAAGCTAAAAAACAAAGCTATTGTGTAGCCCACTCAGCAGATGCTTCATATATTATTCTTGTTAGATAATTTTTGGATTAGATTTGTTGAAATGTACACTTGATGTGAAATAATTCTTAAAATATTTTTTTATATATTAGCAATGTTTATAAAAACCCACTGATTGTATCTGCTAAGGATAGATGGAGGGTATGTGGTGATGTGTGAAATGTATGAAAGGAGTGAATGTATTCCCTTACTGTTGTATTGTTAGACAGTGTCGAGTCCAGGTGTGTTGACTTGTCTGTGTGTTGGAGTGAATGAGTGGAACAAGGGAGGCGACTGATCAAGTGATGGTGGGTGTGTTGTGAGCTAGGGTAACAAGGTGTGTAAGGTTGAATGCGGATGGCAGTCAAGGGTTGAGACTGGTATAGGAGAGAGGTAATGCATTGTCATGGAATTTTATGAAGTTGAGAATAAAACCATTTGATTAACCCAAATGGATTTTGTTCTCATATTTACTCCAATCTAGGTCCTTAAAGAATGCCCTCACACTGGCCCCAACAAATGTCCAAGCATATCCCTAACAAAACAAATATTAAAATACTACTAACATGACACAGAGCCTTATTTTTGGAAAAGTATTGTCTGACCCAGTAGGAAGTATAAAGTATGAGTAAATTTTTAAAAAATTTCAGATTATAGCTTGTGCTAACAGGTTTTAATTCTTTTTTTTTTCCAGTGGGGCCTGAGGTTACAGCTCCAGGGTAAGTGATTATCATACTTCGATAATTTATAAATAAGATATTCTACTCTAAATGCAATTTAGTCCCAGCACCATTTTTGCACCTATAAAAGTTATTTAAGCTGTATAATTTTATCGGTTTATCATTTTTAATTATTTAAAAAGTAAATTACCAGTAACTTCCAAAATAAAAATAGCAATACTGGATTTTTAGGACTTCCTTACGATATTTTTTCATCATTACATTAAGTGAATCCCCTCTAATCTCTTTCAGTTTAAAGCATTCAAAAAAGACTTGCTTGATACTTGCAAACCTGGAGATGTTGAAGTGGTAAGTCTGACATCGCCATGGTGTAAACTTTTATTATACATACAGGTGGACATTTTAAATACAGACATTACGTAGAATTAGTGTTTGATATTCTTAGAATTTCTTTGATAAGTTTTCCATTTGCAACAAAGTAGGTTACTTGAGTTTTATGACTCTATTTAATGTTAAATTTGATTGAATTGCTACCAAAGAAAATCTTAGAAATGTTATCTTTAGCTGAATTTATTGAACACATCCTCGTCTGAACAAACTTGAAGTTTTTGAGCTTAGCTTGACCTGGACAATATGACATGCTTTACATCAGGCTTAGACCCTTTTATTTTGGTACATTTTAGTTAAACTAAATTTGAAAAGGCTGTAATAAAATGTGCACATCATTTCTCTAAAATAATTTCCAGACCTCAGAGGCAACACCCACTACTACTGGCTTTTTTGAAGTTCATGTAGATGGCAAACTTATCCATTCAAAGAAGGTAATTTGTTTTACATATTTGAGTGTAACAAAGAAGGTAATTTGATTCACATAAGTGAATGTAAAACAAAGGTGATTTTAGTCCTGCATATCAAAGTAGGCTTGTAACTTGCAACTTACCAAACAGCTAGTTACAGATGAGAATTTAATACTTGTGGAGATCATACATTATCACCTAGTCCTACACAAGTATCAGGTAGAATATATTTTGAGTGTAAAACTAACCCTACCTCTTGCTGGTTTAAGTTTAACTAATTTTTATTTGATGCTTTAAAAGTCTAAGATTCCTAAGGCTTAAATTTAATCTTTAAGTTTCAGATTTTGGGTAGGGCTAAAAAACAATTCTTTCTAATTAAAGTACTCATAACAGGCCTCAACCCCACCCATATAGAAGACTGAGCCTTAAGTAACTCGCCAGGATTCTCTGGCTATGATCTTAAATTTTACACAATTTTATTCCAACTTGGCTCATTTAAATTTAATGGGAAAGCAAAGACTTCTAACTATCCAGAGTGTTGTCTTTATTAGGAAATTCTGTATTCACCCAGCTGTGAATTCATGATAAAGTCAGAGTGATACACAAGATTTTTTTGTTCTGTTTGGTAGTAAAAATGAGTAAAAGTTGGGACAGGATTAAAGTATGTCCTACTTCTCACAAATTTTATCTTTAAATCATGTTCATTTAATTTTTTTAGAATGGTGATGGTTTTGTTGATCGCGATGAAAAGATGCAAAAGATAATTCTGGCTATCAATGCAGCCAAGAAGAGTTGAGCTCTTTTCTGTGTAGCAGTACAGCATCTCCAGTAAGTTTAACTTGAATTATCAGATTGATCCTCTTTTTAATCTTTATAGATTTATTTTATACTTTTTACATGTATGCAGAGCAGCCCTTATTATTGTAGTGAGGTTGCTTTAATAAATGTGCACAAGTAATTTTATGAAAAGATTGTATGAAAATAACTAATAAAATCCAATACAGCCTAGAATCATGATCTTATTTTTTCCTCCTCAGCTTGAATTACTTGATTTGAATCACCATGAGTGGCTTCAATATGACTGGTTCTGATTAAAGCAATACTTTGTAAAGGTCAAAACCATGATAGTACCGAAGTTCCCATTTTGATTTTTATTGACTAATTCTTGTGTGATTGATGTAGTACTGTATTTATGTACTTTAATTGTACTTTTTTGTGTGTAAAATTTAGATTTCTTTCTTTGATTAGGTTTTCTATAAAAGCTTCTATACAGCCCATTGTTATTCATACAGATCTCTTGAGTATTTTAATTTAACAAGCAACATATTTTATACAAGTATACTGGTAAGATTACTGAAAGATGCAATATATTTCATTTATCTTTATTTTGATAGATGGCACTTAAAATGTATGGATATTCTGATATTAAGGCTAACTACATTTGATATTTGTTTTTGATCTTACAAATTTTGGTTTTGATTAAACATTTTTTGCCTGAAAAATTGTCAGTTTTTTTTAAATCTAACTCTGTATCTTTGCATTTATGGTTAAAGCAATTTCATAATTTGGTCATACATCTTGTTTAATTAAAACAGATGTAACAGTTTAAATAGTAAAATCTTCAGATTCAACCCTCACATTTTTGTATATTTAAGTGACTACTTCAGCTGAAGAATCCACTTCTTTATATATTTTTAGCAACATTCCGTGACCTAGATTTATCAGACACTTGAGTGTTTATCTTCCAACCCTTCTGTTCCCACTGGGTGGATACAAAACAATCTAAAGCACCTTGGTAAACATTGTATTACACTACAAACCGCAACATTTTTGTAAAACAAGAAGCCACTACATAAAACCACTTGTGTTCCACCAAGAATTTAATCTTCTCTCATACAATGTACCAGTAAATTATCCTGTGGTAATGTCTTCAACTGTGTGGCTGCCTGTCTACGTTTACCCCGCAAGCATCGGAGAATGATGTCAACAGCAACATCAGCGCACCAGTTACTGACAGCAGTAGAAACCAGCATTGGGTTTAGTTCTACAACTTCTAAAAGTGCAAGCCGGCCTAAGGTTTTAGAAATAATTCATAAATTGCCAAAGTTTTAAGTCAAAACATCAAAGCTTTAAATTTGAGATGTCTGAAAAATTTACATCTAGACAACCTCTAAACCAATTAAAAAGCAATTAGCAAGCAAGACTAATTATTTGCAGTTTACTGTTTTGTAGTTTCAATCCACAATTTATTGTATTAAACCAAAAAACTTCTAAAATACAATAAAAATATTACACTACCTGTGTGGAAAATAGCTGTAGCCAATGTCCTTGCTTGTTCAATGCTCAAACCTCTCTCAACTGTTATTCAATAGTAAACTGTTAACTAATTATGACTAATATAAATAGAATTTAAGCTATACCTGAAGTATACAATATTCAAGAAATTGTACACCTACACTGAATATTCTTGCACATTTCAACAAACGTAATGACAGGGGCGGAACTACCATACCGCCAGACCCCGCAATGCGGGGGGGCCCAGGACGTTTAGGGGCCCAGTTCCGACCAAAAAACAATGATATTTTTTTCAAATATTATGTTTTTCATGCATCTTAAAAGTGGTTTTGTAAAAAAAAAAAACAAAAAAAAAAACAGCTCTACTATAGCAGAGATTGTTGCGTAGAAAAATATTTTATAATCTACAAGAGCTATAGTTTGAAAGGTAGGCAAACATTCACACTACTTCCATGACTTACTGCCCTTCTTTAAAATAGGGATGCCCACAAAGCTCATTTAAATAGTTTTGTACTATGTATATTAAAAAGCAATTAAATTCTCTGAATTATTATTTAAATAAGACGTAATAAACAATGGTATAGCTATAAAAATCAATGTTTTCAAAATTGATATTATAAAAGCCAAAAATGAAAAGAATAAACATAACGCGAGAAACCATTCACGAATCAAGCTTACGTCTTTATATATTTTTGACCAGCATGTTTAGAAGTGTATATACCTGTTGCTAGCTTAAGATGAGTTTGGACCAAATTTGTCTGGATTGTTCTCTCAGTATGGTTTTATATTGCAATGAAGTAGACTAAATTACTCAGTTAGGATATAGATATTATATATATATATATATATATATATATATATATATATATATATATATATATATATATATATATATATAAATAGGGGGCCCTAATTTTTTCTTTGCGGGGGAGCCCTTTTTTTCTAGTTCCGCCACTGCGTAATGACTATCAGAGCTGGGTAGATGATGTTTAAAAAATTGGGCTGTTGCCGATACTAACTAAAATGTATAAATCACCCACGCATGATGAACAATTTTTATATCATTTACGTGTTTGCCTTAACTTTAACAAATAGTGGTACAGTTTCTTCTGCAGAAACAGTAACAACAACTCTTGTCTGACTACCATATCTGCTGCTTACCTCCCCTTTCACGTTTCATGAAGGTTATTCATACTCATACTATTACTAATCTTATCTTATTCCCAGATAAGCACAAGTAACAGCAACAGACACATTAACTTTGATTCGTATCAAATATCGTTGTACCAAATGTGCTTGATAAGAATGCATCTTTTATAAAGTAAAACAATTTCAAACAGACGTAGAGTTCTAGATAATTTGTTACCTAACAAGATATTGATTTGTAATGGCCAATAAAAATGAACATGTTTTAAAAACTAAATTAAATAAAGTAAGTCAACATGTTTTAATTTTTACTTAGTATCAACAACCCACCAGCATGAGGTGACTGAGTCAGCCATTTTCTTACCTCACAACAAACAAGACTGTCTTACCGGGTGTTCCAGTTGCAGGCATCAACTCTGGGTCTAAAACATCCACATCAAAACTCACATGAATTGGTAACACGCCCCTGAAAACATCCACATCAAAACTCACATGAATTGGTAACACGCCCCTGAAAACAGGACATTGGTATTTTTAACTATAAAATAGCTCATGGGATCTCAAATTATAAGTTTAAAATTATTTTCTGTACTAATTTAAAATTAAACTATGTAAGATTTTTGTTAAACAAAGGTAATGCATTTATCCGAGAACTGCCATAATTTAACATTTTCTTGGTACTTCTTCTGTTGTTTGCCAGGTACGCAGCAAGCTGAGTGGATTCAGAGATGCTAAATATAGTGGTTTTTTTAAAAAAATGTCATATTTGTGCTTAATCGTTTCAAATGACTTTAAATATTGTGAACACATGTCTTACATGGGATCAATTTGATGTAAAGCTGTTTGAATAACAAAGTCCATTCCTAATTCTTGTATATCCTCCACAGAATAGGCGCAAATGTTCAATTCATTCAAGAATTTTCTTCAAATTTAAAAGAAATATAAATTGAATATTACCTTTTTCAATTTTTTTAAAATTTAGTCATAACATAATTACATTTTTAGATACGTGGGAAAATTATTATCACATTTATTGCAATGGCTTTTTGAACGTGTGTGATCATGTATTACAAAGTATACCGTAATTTCAATTTCCAATGACCAAAACACTAAATGCTTAAACAATTAAGTTTTTTAATCATTAATTTACACAAGGGATAATGATCTCAAATTTTCTCTGAGACTGAATTTTAGCTTTACTGAAACTTTTAACTAGGTAATGTTTAAATAGGGCCAGTAGAGCAGGTACTTACCACGTACAGAACTTACTTTTCTCCAGGGTCTATAGATCGTACACCAATATACGCAATATTTTTGGCACTGATGCTGGAATCGTTGAAAATATTTTAGTTGGTAAACATTTATAGTTTACACAAAATGTGAACTAGATACATTTGATATTCCTAATTTTGAAAATATTAAAATCTCAACTAAGTTGTAAAAGTTATGACAAATATTATGGCAATTTTTCTAAAGACATTTTGTTCTACTAGCACTCACCAAGGCTTCAACCACTCTAGGCCAGGTACAGGCGGAGAAACATGAGGCAGCTCTTTACACAAAAAGCCAACTGGCATGCCGTGTATGTTGCCAGATAAGCTGGTCAGTGGTGTGTTGATGTCGGGGTGAGCATCAACCCAGACCAAAGCAATTTCTTCAGCAACCCGGGTGTGGCCAAAGACCGAGCCGAGGGCTATGCTATGATCCCCACCCAGCAAGAGAACTTGACACCCAGATTTGAGAACCCTTTCCACGCTTTTGGCTATCTGTTAACACAAAATATCAATTCATTTTAATATGAATCCCTTTAAGTCATGGGCTGGTAGGCTCACCTTTTTATTATTGATAAATAATAATTTTTTTATGAGTATATTAGTATTAATGATATTCAAGTTTTCAATATCAATGATCATGTTTGTTGTTAAGCTGTGATTAATTTGAAACGTTATTGAAAAAATTATAATGAATTAGAAAACAATGACGTAGACAATAGCATATTTTTCAAGAATTACCACGAGAAAAGCCGTTTTGACTTTATTTCTGCATCGTGGGTGTTTGTGAGGTGACATAGCAATCAGTATCATGTCCGTTATTTTAATTCTTGAGCTACTCACAGTAAATAGCGTGTCATATTTCAAATGAGAATAAACGACTATTGTCTGGAATTCTAAACACTAGTCAAAGAATATCCATTTTAAAGAAGTAAAATATATTGTATGGAATAAGTTTTAATTTAATGTAGTAACAATAAGACAGTGTACATACACATACATTTTCTTTATTTAACAAGACCCGAGGCTGACATAAAAGAACACACGTGGGAGCAGCTAGCCCAAGACAGAACATTGTGGAGGGAGACAGGTTGTGTGGAGGGAGAGGTTGTGTGGAGGGAGAGGTTGTGTGGAGGGAGGCAGGTTGTGGGGAGGGAGACAGGCTGCGTGGAGGGAGACAGGTTGTGGGGAGGGAGGCAGGTTGTGGGGAGGGAGACAGGTTGTGGGGAGGGAGACAGGTTGTGGGGAGGGAGACAGGCTGCGTGGAGGGAGACAGGTTGTGGGGAGGGAGGCAGGTTGTGGGGAGGGAGGCAGGTTGTGGGGAGGGAGACAGGCTGCGTGGAGGGAGACAGGTTGTGGGGAGGGAGGCAGGTTGTGGGGAGGGAGACAGGTTGTGGGGAGGGAGACAGGCTGCGTGGAGGGAGACAGGTTGTGGGGAGGGAGGCAGGTTGTGGGGAGGGAGGCAGGTTGTGGGGAGGGAGGCATGTTGTGGGGAGGGAGGCAGGTTGTGGGGAGGGAGACAGGCTGCGTGGAGGGAGACAGGTTGTGGGGAGGGAGGCAGGTTGTGGGGAGGGAGGCAGGTTGTGGGGAGGGAGACAGGCTGCGTGGAGGGAGACAGGTTGTGGGGAGGGAGGCAGGTTGTGGGGAGGGAGACAGGTTGTGGGGAGGGAGGCAGGTTGTGGGGAGGGAGGCAGGTTGTGGGGAGGGAGACAGGCTGCGTGGAGGGAGACAGGTTGTGGGGAGGGAGGCAGGTTGTGGGGAGGGAGACAGGTTGTGGGGAGGGAGACAGGTTGTGGGGAGGGAGGCAGGTTGTGGGGAGGGAGGCAGGTTGCGTGGAGGGAGACAGGTTGTGGGGAGGGAGGCAGGCTGCGTGGAGAGCGGCAGGTTGTGGGGAGGGAGGCAGGTTGTGGGGAGGGAGACAGGTTGTGGGGAGGGAGGCAGGTTGTGGGGAGGGAGACAGGTTGTGGGGAGGGAGGCAGGTTGTGGGGAGGGAGGCAGGTTGTGGGGAGGGAGACAGGCTGCGTGGAGGGAGACAGGTTGTGGGGAGGGAGGCAGGCTGCGTGGAGGGAGGCAGGTTGTGGGGAGGGAGGCAGGTTGTGGGGAGGGAGACAGGTTGTGGGGAGGGAGGCAGGTTGTGGGGAGGGAGACAGGTTGTGGGGAGGGAGGCAGGTTGTGTGGAGGGAGGCAGGTTGTGGGGAGGGAGGCAGGTTGTGGGGAGGGAGACAGGCTGCGTGGAGGGAGACAGGTTGTGGGGAGGGAGGCAGGTTGTTGGGAGGGAGGCAGGTTGTGGGGAGGGAGGCAGGTTGTGGGGAGGGAGGCAGGTTGTGGGGAGGGAGGCAGGTTGTGGGGAGGGAGGCAGGTTGTGGGGAGGGAGACAGGTTGTGTGGAGGGAGACAGGTTGTGGGGAGGGAGACAGGTTGTGTGGAGGGAGACAGGTTGTGTGGAGGGAGACAGGTTGTGGGGAGGGAGACAAGCCCGTCTGGAGGGAGACATTTATAAAGTAAAGATCTAAAAAGCTTGAAAGATTTGGGTAAAAAAAATTCCCGTTACAAGCTATGCCACCAGCTCACACCAACATCCAAACAATGTACGCACAGAAGTTGTACCACGTGGTACAGTTGGAGAAGAAAGATCGAGGTTGAAAAGTTGAGAAATCTTTAATAAAGGATCAGGTGATGCAACTGGCAGAGCTAATTAGTCAGGCAATCAACCTGAGAATTTACCTGGTGATTTGCTTTCCCCACGGTCTTGGCAAATTTACAGCCAGGTATAATTTCACCGTCGTCTGATTCCACTGTAAACTTCAGGTCACCAAAGTCATGAACTATAACACCTACATTTGATCGTATTTAACTTGAGGTTACTAAATATTATTTGTGGTCACTAAATATTATTTGAGGTCACTAAATATTACTTGAGGTCACCAAAGTCATGGGCTATAGCACCTACATTTGATCGTATTTAACTTGAGGTTACTAAATATTACTTGAGGTCACTAAATATTAATTGAGGTCACTAAATATAACTTGAGGTCACCACATATTACATGAGGTCACCAAATATTACTTGAGGTCACCAAATATTACATGAGGTCACCAAATATTATTTGAGGTCACTAAATATTACTTGAGGTCACTAAATATTAATTGAGGTCACTAAATATAACTTGAGGTCACCACATATTACATGAGGTCACCAAATATTACTTGAGGTCACTAAATATTACTTGAGGTCAGCAAAATCCAAGACTACACCACCTACATTTGATCGTATATTTTGCTAAAATGCATTATGAGCCTCTCGCATATTTTCATGATTTAAACTATAGAAATCTAGATCAACTTATTTCTGTGGGGTTTTTAAAAAAATTCATTTTGTTGCCAGAGCAGTATCGATGTAAAAATTGCATGCACATTTTTTCTCAGTATTCACACATACTGTCTGTTTTGTGTTTTGTAATGTGTAATATTATGTTTCTCAATATCCAATTCTATTACAGGGTTATCTTACAGTGGCGTTTTAAGAGTGTTCATTTAGAACATTATCTTACTAAAAGTATGAATAGATTTGTTACAATCATAAAATAAAGTAAAAGTAGACTACCTTTTTTCTCTAATTTCTCGTTGATCCTGGCCCTACGTAGTAGTTCTGGTGCAGACTTTGTCCCATTCAGTGGCTGATTAAACAATTATTTTTATTTATTTTTTGCAAGCAAGAAAAGTTTTGAAAGATGTGCATGCTATCCTTCACGAGTATAGGCTTTTAACATTACTATTTAGAAGTATAGAATTGTCTGAAGTGTTACGTAAATTGATGAATGTTTCTCACCTGCCCATGTACAAGTGGAGCCCCTAAAATACCTACTCTAGGAACTTTCTTTGATGGATCTGGAAGTAGAACTGTTTAGATTATTTTTCTTGTCTGCACCATTTCCAGTTTGATAAAATATAATTCAAGTACAAAACGGCCTACAGACCTACATTAAAGAAAATTGTAATAAATATGAGAACTAGAATCGTGGAACTAGAAAAAAAATAAGACTGGTGTTTGGCTTAAGTGTTCCAGTTGTATGTACAAACCTCAATTATTTGCTAGAGATAATTGAGTTTACACTTTAGTTTGATAGTATTAGATATATCCATATTTTATACGAGAACACCTAGAAATCTATACAATAATCCATGTAGATCTGTTCAGGAGAAAAAAGCAAATGAATATAAATTACCGTGGCCTTGAATCTGTAGCTGCAGTCGCTTTAAAGCTAGATCTCTGGCTGCCATTGCAGCACCTGATGTGATAGCTTTGGTCACGTGAGACACAGTTGGCGGCTTTATGGGGAGCCGGTTGGTGGACCGCCGTAGTATCATCATGGCATCACGTGTTTCTTTCTTACAGCAAACAGTAGGTCAGGACAGTCGGAGTAAAGGAATTACACGCGGGTAAATTATGAAACATCACATCAGTGGTAGAGGATTAACTTTTTATTTTGGTTTATCACTTCCGTATACAAATAATTCCCTGCACCAAAAAATTTTGTGTTGTTTTAAATCATTGTGGCGCGAAAATCATCGGATGAATATGTGACCTGTTTTGGTAAAAATATTTTTTTTTTCTAAATACATTATGTTTGGTTCGGTGGGCGGTAGACGTTCTTCGGGAGTTTCTTTTAGGCATCTATTCGGGGGGGGGGGGGGGTGTCAAGTTCTCTTGCTGGGTGGGGATCATAGCATAGTCCTCGGCTCGGTCTTTGGCCACACCCGGGTTGCTGAAGAAATTGCTTTGGTCTGGGTTGATGCTCACCCGGACATCAACACACCACTGACCAGCTTATCTGGCAACATACACGGCATGCCAGTTGGCTTTTTGTGTAAAGAGCTGCCTCATGTTTCTCCGCCTGTACCTGGCCTAGAGTGGTTGAGAAGACCACAGAACACAATTGATATAAGTTAACTACTTAAGTAGCGACATCAGTGTGGGACGAGTGGTGCAGTCAGCACAGGGTGACGCACGTCTTAGGGTTGAATTCAAGCAGAACATTTTACTCTCAATAAACTGTTTATCTAGTTACAATCAGATACAATGTTTATCTAGTTACAATCAGATACAATGTTTATCTAGTTACAATAAGATACAATGTTTATCTAGTTACAATCAGATACAATGTTTATCTAGTTACAATCAGATACAATGTTTATCTAGTTACAATCAGATACAATGTTTATCTAGTTACAATCAGATACAATGTTTATCTAGTTACAATCAGATACAATGTTTATCTAGTTACAATCAGATACAATGTTTATCAAGTTACAATCAGATACAATGTTTATCTAGTTACAATCAGATACAATGTTTATCTAGTTACAATCAGATACAATGTTTATCTAGTTACAATCAAATACAATGTTTATCTAGTTACAATCAGATACAATGTTTATCTAGTTACAATCAGATACAATGTTTATCTAGTTACAATCAGATACAATGTTTATCTAGTTACAATCAGATACAATGTTTATCTAGTTACAATCAGATTGACCGCGTCATGTTGTTGAGGCGCCTCAGGTCTGGCATACACACCGCCAAGACACGGAGCTCCACAGGAAGTCCAGGAAACTAGAGAACCCCAAAATAACAGACATTTTTTTTTAATACAACATTAAAGTAATCATTATCCTAGATGCAGATGACACTAACGCGGACGCATTAATTGGTAGATTTAACACAATCGTCATTAATACGACAAGTAAAGAAACCCCCGGACATAGAACTCGCTCAAGATATGTGCGACAAACAACGTGAGCTGAGAAATAATTTTAAAAAATTGCATAAAAATGTTTTAATGACAAGCTTTTATGTAATACTGCACTAAAAAGTAGAAAATAAATTATTTTCTTTAAATATATAACAATACTATAAAGAAAAGCGTGGGTCACTTTATTATCTATTAGATAACAAATGAATTAGTCATCAAATTAAGTCAAATTTGATGTCAGATTGCATTTTCTTCAAGTCTTGACCCACGTGCCAACTTTGAAACAAATCTGTCTGTTAGACGTGTCCGAAATTTCGCTCGGCCGTTTCGATATAGACTGACGACAGACATAGACAGTAACTTAAATAATAGCTTGTAAAAATATGCACGACCCAAACATAACGAAACAATATAGTGCAGCCAACCAGGACATAAGAAATAACACGACAAGAGCTAAAGAAGCTCGGATCAAAATATAAAGCAAAGAAATGGAGGATAACCTGAAAATTAATCATAGCAAAATACGACGCGCGTCTGTACATCAACTATATATGGCTGTGTATTTACAAACCACTTAGGTAGTTTTGCGAAACTAATTTCCAAGAAAAATATAAGAAGGCGCTAGGACTCAACGATTATTATAAGAGGCATTGAATTATCTAGTCCCAATTTTTTCCTGGAAGCAAAAAAAAAATTAAAAAAAAAATAAAACAATAAGCCTACGTAACGTTTTTGTGCATTTGCTTATCACAGCCCGAATTAATTAAAGAGTTTAGAGAGCAGAAACTGTCTGATAAGGTCACCGTATCTTAAAAGTCAACTTCCGCCTTTGGACTGACTCGTAGGAGGCGGAGATTGCGTACAAGGTTTGGGGAGACTTTGTGAAACACAAAGCTCTTTGAGACGACTCTTTGACGGCTACTTTTTGAGCCGCGGTGCCGATCTATCTTAGAAATAACATAACGAAAAGTTTCTATTGCGTCTATCTTCACAACTATTTTATATTCTAGAAACAAAAAACACATGCACACTTTCGGGTGAAGATTGTACATATATCGTACGTCAATTTTAAATAAATCAGTCCCAGGATTCAATAGTGTGCATGACATGTAGGCTATTATTGTGCTATTCAAGCTAAAGGAGGGGTTTATCCAAAGAAATCAAATGGACCGTCTTAAAACCTTTTTTTTTTAAACTTTGGAATCGCAGACGTGATACATTTTTGAACGTCATGATGTATTGTGTGTCCTGTGTGAATACATTTTCTTTAAGCAGTAGTTGTGTGAGCATGTAATTGTGAAAGGTTTAGATGGCACATCGTGGAGAAGTCTTTAGGGCAAAGGCCAGCAATACTCCGTCATGTTCCTTTCAGCTATTAGGTTAGAGGTACACTTTACTTTTTCTTACAATAAATACTTTCACACATCCAAAACCTAAACCAGATGTCACCTGTAAGTTCATAAGCTAAATTGGTGGGCAAACACAGTATATATATATATATATATATATATATATATATATATATATATATATATATATATATATATATATATATACATATATTCAAGATTTTCTCTTGTGTTTGTGTGTGTGTCTGTATGTTTTTTCCATTTTTCCTAACTGGCGCCCATGTATTGAGTTGATAATGTATTCGTGTTCAACAACATAGTGTAGTTCTCCGCTAGCCTGATCAGCTTTTGTATCTTTTAGTTAAAAAACTTAACACATTAACGAGTTTAATTTATTTAATTGGACTCCAGCTCTTCTTTAAATCAGTAGCCTACCGGTAGCCCAAAAAGCGACTTGTTTTACTATTGTATTATTCCGACGACCCGCAAATGAAAAAAAAAGTTTGTACAACACAGTTCTAAGGGAATTAAGCATGCCACTCCAGATGTTTGATAGCATAAAAAAGCAATTGCAAATGCCGAGCGTGTATTCGTTCATTTGGTTGAGTCACCATCTGTTGATTGCTTACTTCTCAAGGAGGTACAAGGTGACATTTTATTTTGTTATTGTTTTTTTTTAAATTTCATTATGATTTCAATCACAAACAAGAAAAAATAATTTAAATTTATATTAACGTTTTGCTCGCTTTATTTTTAAAAAAAATCTGGTGTATTTATGTTTGCTACTGTAACTAATGTCCACAATGGGTTATTTGTCAACAGACGTGAAGAGAAGAAATGATTAAGTAAAAATTGAGGGTAAGGTCTGAGGACTTAGCATTTTACTTTAGCCCTAGAAATAAAAATGATGAAAAAGGCTTTGTTATGTTGTAGTTTGTCTGAGGGTGCTAAATATTTTGCATTTGTTTTGTACAATTACTCACTGACATTTAAAAAGTGCAATTCTTAATTTTTTTATTAATTATAAATTATAAATATGCTTGAAATATTCACGGAATATTTTTGAAACTTTAAAAATGTCTTACCTTTGGAGTCACTTCTTAAACTGATTGCATTAGCTGTCAATCGGATTTTAAATTTACAATTACGAAAAAATATTACAGGTCGATTATAAGCAATCAAATGAGCATGTATATACAAAAAAATAAAGTTAGTTCTACGAAGCTTCATACTTACACGCCGTCGAACGTCATCAATACCATCATCGTTTCTTTCTTCGCACATCAACACTGAGGTGTATCCTGGCGATAACTGCATGAAAGTTTACAGACTAATCTGAACAAAGTGGTTCCTGCTTTTCCAGTCCGTGTTTTTCATGTTTGTAAAAATGATGCCCAGATGCTATAGCCCAAAGGGTTATTTTTCTTTTATAAATGTAGTCATTGATTAATGTAATCATTGATTAGTGTAGGCCCATTCTTTGATTAATTATTCATTGATAAATGTATTTATTAATAATTAAAATGCATTTATTGATAATTAATAATGCATAAATACAAATATTAAATGTATGTATTCATTAATCAATTGATTTAACATAAAGATATCTATTCCTGTCCCATTCGATCCCAAAAACATCAGAATATCTATCTTTAAAAAAAAAATTGTTGAACCTTTTTACTTTTACATACTTTTACACGGTTACTCGCCGAAACAACATTAATGGATTTTTTTTTCCTGATAAAAAAAAGAATTTACAGCAGCAAAAGAAGTATGTAGAGTTTAAACAATAAAAATCCTTTGTAAGACAGTAATAATTTAGGCCTGTAGCCGGAATTAATGTTCGGGAGTTCTGTCCTGGGGTTATTGACCCTCGACTGGATAAAAAATATTAACCATTTTGCACTGTTTGTCGCCATCCATAAAACAAAAACAAAACAATCTAGTGGGGTGGGGAAAAGGGGGGGGGGGGGTAACGTTGCAAATTTTCGACTGGATAAAAAATATTAACCATGTTGCACTGTTTGTCGCCATCCATAAAACAAAAACAAAACAATCTAGTGGGGTGGGAAGTGGGGGGGGGGGGGAGGGACAACTGGGAACGTTGCAAATTTTCGACAAGAAAACAAAATTTTGTCAAGCAGACCGTCCTCCAATAATAAATAATAAATTAGCACTTGTATTCGAAATTACTTTCTTTTCCAGCGTCTTCACTGCAGTTCACCAGTTTTTCCTAAGCACGGTATATTGAGGCGTCATGACATGTAGGCATATAAATAAGGAAGAAAGTGAAAAAATGGAAACAAAATCTAAGAAAGTACCGGACGGAGGTTATGGTTGGTTTATTGTCCTGGGATGTTTTATGGCACATGTCCTCATCGGTAAGTCAACGCGCGGAAACAATTTAAATTTAATGTGTTGAGATCTTTTGTTAATTTAGTAATCAGCGAGTCATATATCCCATAAGTTAGTCGCCCTAATTCTTCTATTTGTTGGCATTTTATACATACTCTTTAAAAATTCATTAAAAGCGCACTCGTTTTATTTTATTTTATTTCAAACAGTATGGGTGTAGACCCCAAAGTAATACCTGAAATGTTTTAATTTGAATTGCAGGTGGTTTCGATAGAAGTGAAGGCATATATTTTCTACAATTCACTGAAAGATTTGAAAAAAATGCTCAGTTGACATCTTGGCCAGGAGCTTTAGTTTCTACCATTAGGCACTTTCTAGGTTCATTTATATTTTTTCAAAAAATCCTTATAAAATATGACTATATAACTTTGTTTAATGTGATTTTGAAATCCATTTCTGTTATAATAGATCCAAACTTTAATTAATAAGATGTATTGTTGTTAATTGCTAATTGTAATCTCATTAAAGGTCCTTTGGCGGGGATCTTGAGCAGCCACTACAGTGCCCGGACTACTGTCATGATCGGAACTTTATTCATGACGGTCGGAACTTTACTCAACGCATTTTGTCCGGATTTTTTCTTCTTGTTTGTGTCTCATGCTGCCCTGCAAGGTAAGTTGGGTTTGATTGTGTGATTGTCAGGTGATTGGTTTGATTGTGTGATTGTCAGATGATTGGGTTTGATTGTGTAATTGTCGGGTAATTTATTGGGTATACGCCTTCTTTTATTATTTAAGATTTGGTAGAGGACTGATGTATGCCCCTTCTCTTATTATTTAGGATTTGGTCGAGGACTGATGTATGCACCTCTCTTATTATTTAGGATTTGGTAGATGACTGATGTATGCACCTTCTCTTATTATTATGATTTGGTCGAGGACTGATGTATGCACCTCTCTTATTATTTAGGATTTGGTCGATGACAGATGTATGCCCCTTCTCTTATTATTTATGAAGGCCCTTCTCTTATTATTTAGGTTTTAGTCGAGGATTGATGTATGATGCACTTCTCTTATTATTAAGGATTTGGTCGAGGACTGATGTATGCACCTTCTCTTATTATTTAGGATTTGGTCGAGGACTGATGTATGCATATTCTCTTATTATTTGGGATTTGGTCGAGGACTGATGTATGCACCTCTCTTATTATTTAGGATTTGGTCGAGGACTGATGTATGCACCTTCTCTTATTATTGTTGGAACTTACTTTGACAAGCACCGAGGTTTGGCTGCTGGGCTAGGGTGTTCTGGTGTTGGAGTTGGGACATTTTGTATTGTGCCATTCACACAATGGCTGTTTGATACGTATCTTTTTCAAGTAATTTTTTTTTTAGAAATCTTTTATTTCTCATTATTAATTAAATTACTAACATTACAGAAAACGTAAAAAACCATGCATATAATACTTGTGGCTAGCTGTTATCAAATGCTATTTATTCGTACTATTAAATCTAAAAAATTCGAAAATGCTTATGTGGATTAGAAAAGTTCAATTCGTTATTTAAAGATATTAACTAGATTCTATTACTAAATAGCTTGGAGCATTCATTAGCAGATTGCTGAAAATTATTTTAATCAACAAAAACCACTTCAATTCAGTTGAGCTCTTCAACTTCCAAAAAACATATTTGCTAGCTTAAGTGAAGAATAATTTAACTATTACAATTTTTACAATTTTGTGACCAAACAAGATGTTCTCGTTGTGAGTTTTTTTTTTTTTGGGTTGCTCCTTATAGGGTGCATTTACTATTCAAAGTGCTGTTGCGTTGAATGGATTGGTTGTGGCTATGCTGTTTCGGCCTCTCAGCTTGCATTTCAAATTTACTGGCCAACAACGGTAAATGTTTCCTGAACAACGTGTGTTTTCATGTGTCATTTGTACAATTGTATTCAATGAAGACATTATTTAACATAGAACTACTTAAACCAAAGGGTGTACAATTGGTGTTAGGGTGTTAGACCACCCCCCCCCCTCCCCGTCGGCCACTAAAATAGAAGTTGTCTCGCGTCAGAGACATTGGTGAAGATGATTTCGTGTCGATTTCAGTTTACAATTTACAACCCTCACTCTGGACAAACCCTCACTCTGGACAAACCCTCACTCTGGACAAACCCTCACTCTGGACAAACCCTCACTCTGGACAAACCCTCACTCTGGACAAACCCTCACTCTGGACAAACCCTCACTCTGGACAAACCCTCACTCTGGACAAACCCTCACTCTGGACAAACCCTCACTCTGGACAAACCCTCACGTGGACAAACCCTCACTCTTAACAAATCTTCACTGTGGACTAACTACTTATGGACAAAGCCTTAGTGGTCAAACCCTCATTCTGGACAAACCCCCAATGCGGACAAATTACTTATCAATAAAGCAACTGTTGTCAAATCTCCATTGTGGACCGATTTTCACCTATGGTCTAAGCACCTTTTGTCGAAGCACTTAAAACTCGTTAAAAATCATAATTTTAAAGTCTTTTAACGCCATTTAACTCTCTGACGCTGTGGGGTGAGAGAAAAGTGTAAAAACAAAATACAGGGAAGGTACACTATAGAGTACAATTAATAATATTTGCAGAATATCAATAATTCCTTTGGATCGTGTACAAATGATGGTACATTTTTTAATGGCTTTAAACTTTACATCCGTTATTTTCAGAATAGACCACTCAGAAATAAAGAGACGAGATTTCAAAAATATTTTTAAAAAAAAACAGAATTCAATTTTTTACAATTCTTGCTCCCTCTTTAATCTTGTTTTAATCTAGAAGCTTTGCCAGCAAGAAATGTTTTATAAATGTCGTTGTAGTATAAAATACTTAACTGTAGTTTCAATACAGTTTAGCAAATCATTAAACAAAAATATTAATTTCACAGCAATAGAGGCGTGGACATTCAACTGAAGACAACACTGCTACCCAAACACCAGGAACTCGGGGAAAAATCAGATGTAAAGGGGTTAGAGATAGGCGAAAAAAATCATTTACAAATTCAGCCTTCTCCAGAACCAAAAATTCACAAAGATGGATGGTTCAAGTCTTCGCTTAATATTTGCTTCCCAAAAGAAAACAACAAGCAACAGAGGGAAAAAATGAGCCACTCGCTTCATTTATCATTACTGAAAGATGCGTCTTTTTGTATATTCTGTGTTAGCATTATGCTGTTCACATCCGCCTTTAAGGCGGCCTTTACATTTATTCCCGCCTTGGTTAAAACTAAAGGCCTCTCAGATAGTGAAGCAGCGCTTGTTTTATCTTTATCTGGCGTGTTTGACACCATAGGCCGGATAGTGGCGGGCATTATTTTAGATATACCATCACTACGTCCACTTAGACCTGTTGTTTATAACTTTTTTATATTTTCTATAGCAGCCGTGTCCTTCACCATGCCATTCTTTACTAGTTTCTTATGGCTATGTGTGTTGTGTTGTGTATACGGCACATTAAGTGGAGCTTACATATCCCAAAAGTCAGTTCTTGTTGTAGATATCCTGGGGGTTGAGCATCTAGCAAGTTCCTTTGGTCTCCTGATATGTTTCCAGGCTGTAGGGACATGCGTGGGGCCACCACTATCAGGTACACTTTGTGTCTTTATATTTAGTTCTTCTTGTCGGAAGCCTAAATGACGGGAGTCTATTTGTCGAGAGCCTATAAAACGGAGTCCATTAGTCGCTGGCCCTTTTGATGGGGTCAATTTGATGGGGCATTTTTGCCGGAGCCGTTTTGACGTCACACGATTGGAGAGGGTTTCCTTCAATACAACGTGTACTCCGTGTGAACAGAGGCGTAGCGACCCTTCGCGGCGCCCGGGGACAAACTTTCAATTTGGCGCCCACCTCGGGAGCAACAACTTTTCAATTTTCGATTTGCAACCCCAACCTCAAACTTTCGATTTGCACCCCCCCCCCCCCCCCCCCATATATTTTTAATATTTATAATGCAAAAATGCAGCTAAAATGAGATTTTAATTTGTTTTTTCAACCCATTTTGGCGCCCCCTAAGGTCGGCGCCCGGGGACATATGTACCCCCCTCGCTACGCCTCTGCGTGTTAACACTGTATGCACCATGAGGCGACTTCAGCCTGTTCTTTCTGGATTTGCTTTCACTCAAGAACAATAATCGAGGCGGCAATAGTTTGATTTAGAAGTTTTCTCCCCTAGATGAAGTAGATGTGTTGCTTTTCCGCAGGTTACGTATCTCATCCATCTGGGGATCCGAACTCGGGACCTGCGAGTTAGCAACGATATGCTGTCCCTCCCTTCCGACCCCGCCGTCCCCGTTAGCTACTACATTTCCAATGGTGCTCACAAACACTTAATAAATATATGATGTTTTATACATGTTTTGTTTGTATGACATACATTTTCATTGTGTACATTTGATCTAAAGGCATATGTAAATAAGACATTATTTAGTTACATGTTTAAGTTGATAACACCTGTAAATTAAACAGTTTTTAAACAAAAATAATATTATCATAATTTTTAGAATAAAGAGAGCTCTGAAATTGATCTAGAAAAAAAATATTTTCTAAGCCTGTTCAATTCATGTAAAATAACGATGACTGTTCTATTGTAGTTCATTTTTTGTTTTACTTTTATTTACTTTTTTAGGTGCCTTCAGAGATGCCTTTGGCAGTTATGATGAAGCATTTTACTTGGGGGGCAGCTTCATGATTGTAGCTGGAGTTCTTATGGTTTTATGCAACATTTGTCTCAGGAAAAAGCAACACAAGAAAAACAATAATGAGATAAATATAGAAATAAAATTATAAAGAAACATCTGCTAAAAAATTTGTTTGTAAAATAATTGCTACTCACTTTTGTGTGAGTTAAATTGTAATAAGCTTTCATCAACATAGAAAAGTATTTAATTCTTCTACTGGTGGTAAAAAGGGCTGGGACATCTATTTATAATGGAGGGAGGGGATTGAAGATTATTAAACCCTCTACAATCTTCCTAACTTCAGTTTTGCCGTAATACGAATTATATGAAATCAAACATTGAAAAAAAATGTATAAATATATATATATACATATATATATATATAATATATATATATATATATATATATATATATATATATTTTTTTTTTTTTTTTTTTTTTTCTTTTGGAGCAAGTAAACTTATGTACTAGTAATGTACAAAGCTAGGCTTAAATCTCTAAAAAACTATTGTAATATCATAAAACAAAAGGATTGAAAAAACAAAAGAAAATTTGCTTACAATACATTTATTGTGTATAAATTCTAGTAACACGTTGAAAAAAAATAATTCAATAGCTGTTAAGGAACAGAATACTGATATTAAAATAATAATAAATAAAGCATTCAAACCTAGAAAAAAGTTAAACTATTTACACAGATTTCTATTCATTCAACCAAGCCTTACTCTACACATTGACATTTATGAACTTTGGTCTGGTGGTTTGGGATTCTCCATCAGGACATGTTTGTGAGAGAAGGAATTGTAACCTCTAATATCTTCAGATTGACTATCATAGTTGGAAAATTGTTCTCATTTCTCGAATGGGCGCAACCAACGGATGACTGAATATATGAATGATCGCAACCAACGGATGACTGAATATATGAATGAGTGCAACTAATGGATGACTGAATATGATAATGTATGATGCAGTCAAGGCAAACTTCCTTGCATAGTGCAGTCACAGCACCAAACAAATCAATACAACAAACACAAGAATGTACCAAAAGTCTCTCGGCCAAACTAAAAACACTCCACACAACAGCCAAAGTTACACTTACAAAAATCTACTTTTGATTTAGTTATACTATGTAGATGTAGGGGTGGAGGGGGGGGGATAATTCAACTTCTAGTAAAATTGCTAGGTCCCTCTAAATTAAAAACAAAATTGTTAATTATAATTCTGCTGCTCTAAAACTAAAAGAAAAGTAATTGCACATTAAAGATAAACTCCTTTATAAAAGAAGATTATTTTGACGATAAAAAATTGAGTCCTGACACCAGACAATTCCAGCCATAAATTGTTCTAGTATTTAAAGTTAAGGCCAACACACATAAGAAGCATAGTAGACAACATTGACATTGAAAGGAAAATCGTATTATACAAATAGTACACAATTCTTCTTAATTATGATTTAAGCAAAATAGTATATTGATATTAAATTTGTGTGTTAAATATTGGACATTTTTGTACCAAATCTTAAAAAAGAGCCAAAGTCATGGTTTATCAAGGCAGATTTGGCCTTAATTAATTGGCCTATATTATAGATGAGAAATAAGTTTTAAAATCTATCCTACCTTATTTGGTTTCTGAAACTGTTTTGATGAAATGTTATTACATTTTCATATTTTTTAAAATGTAAAATTAAACTAGTAAACAAAGTTCTCATGTGAAGTTTCTCCAATTTTCAAGTGATCAGTCAAAAATTATAAATGGTTGGTCCATCTAATGTGCCAGAGTAAATATTTTTAAAAAAATATTATCAAGAGTGCTAAGACAGTTTAAAAAAACCAGAAATATCAAATACACTAAGTTACATTGAATATAATTTACAAGGTCACAGCCTCATTACATGAGCCAAAATATTCACAACCAATATCTTAGTACATAAGTATTGATACACTAAACAGTATACATTTACATAGCATGTTCTAAAAGCAAGTGTGGATATGAAATACAAATAACTGAATGGCAAGTAGTTCTTTGTTCTAACTTACTTAGAGTATTAATAATTGATCATTAGGATAGATAAGTTTACATTTGAGTAAATTCTGATGTTTTTTTAACATATGAAAATTAGTCATCTAAAAGATTTATCAGTTCTTACAAATAAAGTTAACAATATAAATCTGCAGAAAGTTTATGCTAATTTGAATTCTTTTATTACTTTAGTATATTTAGTAAAACAGGTTGGGATACTAGAAAAATATGTGTACTGACCAATGCAATATAGTCTACAGAGACATTAACAAATACAAATATTTTACAAAATAACAAGACAAAAAACTGGGTGAAGAAGCAGGAAATATCAGAGTTATAAAAACATAATGTGGCAAAATTACACGGATTGATTAATAATAAATAAAATGATTCATGCATCACAATAACACAGCAAATAAAACTTTACACACAGGAAGATCAATGCTGTAAAATGAATAACTAATTTTTATGAACAAAAATCAGGATGAATGCACTGGCAATTATTTTAGGACAAAAACTTCCAAACTTGTCTTGACCACGAAAAAATGCAAGGCTATTACAGAAGTATTCAGTCAACAACAGAAACTGCATTGATTGCTCAGATGTTTAAATCAATTTACTGGTGGCTCCTGCAGATCTGGCTAATTCTTGTTTTTTATTTTCATTGCAGTGGAATTGTTAAATAAAAGTTCATGAAAAACTAATTGACATTACTTCATTAACTGAACAAAACTGTAATGTGAACTATGCCCCATGAAGTAGACTGAAAATTATAACTGACCTATTCAATTAAAATAATAAGTTTAATAGTTAAATAAAATCAAAAGCTGCCAGTTGTTCTTTTGAAAAAAATATTTTTTTAGGCAGTTGTAACTATAAAGTATATACTAAAATTAACATATGATTGATCTTGTTAACTATAAAATATAGACTAAACATGAATTTGATCTTTATAACAATTAAATATGACTAAAACAAATATAAATTTGATCTTGGTAACTATAAAATATTAACTACAACTAATATAAATTTTATCTTGGTAACTATAAAATATTAACTACAACTAACATAAATTTGATCTTGGTAACTATGAAATATTGACTAAAACGAAAATAAATTTGATCTGTAACTCACTATTTAATCATAGCAAAATATTTAATTTGTAATTATATTTGTAAAAGGATGACATGAAGATCACATATGAAATAATTTACATTGTGGTATGTCATTGTTCTTTATACAGTGAATTAAAAGTGATTTTCTTTTTTTTAAATTGTGGATTATATACAGCAAACAGATTGTAGGAGTTTATATAAAGGTACTTGAAACTTAAACTAATAGTTTAAATACTAGTATTCACAATAATATACAGAAAAAAAAGTAAATGCAATATAATAAAGATAAATATTGCACAATAAATTATTTTATCCACATATCAGTTATGAACAGCAAACTTTCAGTAAGAAATGTTTTCCATTCTTTCATGAAATTCATCCATAAATAAAGGAAAATTAAACTTAATAGTTCATTTACCCACTATTGTAAACTCACATGCCTTCTAGTTGAAAGGTTAAATTAGTGAATTACAAAGTACTGAAGACCATATTTCCCAATATTTCTAGTAAAAGTACACTTTAGAAACTTAATTAGAAACATGAAGTGAAGTAGATTTCACATGTTTCAGTGACCTTGGCATATGAAGGGATAGTCTGGTCAGACCATTGTCTAGCCACTTTTACTTTTCCTAACCTGATTCAGGTAGCCTACCCAACAGAGCTGGGTGAACTCAGGGACGTAGCAAGTACTTGATCCAGGACTCAAATTTTTGAGAAAATATCTCTACTAGTGAATTGATAGTGTTTTTGATGAGTTAAAAAAGTGTTAGTATTTTTAAAAGCTTAAATGATTTGTCTGCATAGGATGGAAAGAATTGTGCTATACCAGTATTGGAATGTGACACACAAGACCTACCATGGCAACTGTAAAAAAAAAATGACTTTTATACTTTTGTAAGGCATATGCACCTGCTACTGAAATAAAATTACATACAATTGTATTTTTGTATAAACATTTATGAAGTTGTAACACTTCCTTGTCGTTCTCTGGAAAAGTCACTAGCATTGGTCACACGTTTGCGGTTGCGCTTGGCTAGCTTGGCCATGTCCTCACCAAATACATCTCCTGTTCTCAAGGCTGATATCAAATCATCAAATTCACCTAGCAAAGCAAAAATTAATATTGTACATAGCAGCTTATGTGAATGTAAGAAATAGATTAATACTATAAATAAATCTTGTTTTGAATTAAAGAGTATTTTGACTACATAGTTTAAGGAAAAAGTTAATATTTGCAATACAAAGTAACTTGTAGATATTATATATACATGTATTTTATTAAAGATACTTCATTTTATCTTGTTTTAATTGGCCTAATAATGGTAAGATTTAAATATTTAAAATTAAAAACAAAACTAATATGATATGTCATTAGTATTACACTGTTTGCTGGTTTACATTCCTGTTGTTTTTCAGAGCTTTTAAATACATTTTTGTGCAGGTTCAGTAACTCCTTGATGACAATATTTTCTTTCACAAAAACCAGTTTTTCTATTGTTACCTACCTTTATCCCCATTTTCAGTGGCTGTATTTGCTGACCCTTTCTTGTCTGTCAAATTGCTACCTCTTCTCAGCATGATTCGTTTTTCTCTTTCTTTTTTAAGCTGAAATTACAGAATTAGCTTAAATTTAAATCTTGATATTATTAAAATAGAATACTTTTCCTGTAAGCTAAAAGTAAAATCTAGAATTGTAAAAACTCCAGAGTTAAGTACCTGCTCTTCTAGTTGTTTTCTTTTATCTTCCTCGTCCTTTTGCTTCTTGAATTTCTCATTTTCATGCCTGGTATCTATCATTCCAGTCACAAAAGAATCAATCGTCCCAAAGAAATCTTCAGGCTGGACTTGTTTTGGGTCTTCACAGAAAGCTTTTAATATAGTTTCATACTGGCAAAAGACAAAGTCAGATAACATGGCATGATGAAACAGACTTTGCTAAGATCAACATCTATAACACTTCAAAATTTTTGGTATTGTTCATAAGGAGAAACAAATATATCTACTAGAACTTACCTTTTGCTTCATTTCATTATATGAATCTTCCACAGAAGTAAAATTGTAGGCAGCAACTGTACAGAAATCTTTCATTACACTCACAAATTTGTCCTGGCTAGTAATGTTTAACTTTTTCTCAAAGAACTCAACTTCCTGGAACACAAGAAAAACAATAAACCTTGAATAGACCTAAACAAATATTTTTTAAAGCCAACAGAGGCAGATTTATAAGAATTTTATACTCATTAATTGAATGATGCAACAAAAACACTGAAAGAATTAACCAGCAGTTTAGTGTAAATCTGATGTAATTAAAACAAAATAATTTATTCACCTTTTCAATGCTCTGTAAGCCCTTCCGTAAATTAGTTATTTCCTTTTCAAGATCTGTGAAACTAAAACAACAAATTTTATATTAGTAATTTTTAATTGTTTCTTGTGTTGTCCATTAAACATTATTTATTTTACAATATGTTTAAAGTGAAGGTTTCTACAGTTGTAAAACACTTACTTGACCTTAGCTGCATCATGAACATGAGGTAGTTCTTCATCAAGCTTCATCAAGTCTGGAAACTAAACATCACCAAAATATTCAATGTTGTCAACAATTTGTATTCTTAAACTTTAAATTTAATTTTTCTTTTAAATTTAATTTATAGTTTAAGACCCATTTGCATTAACAATAAATGTATAAACACAAATACCTTTTTATCTGCAAGTTCCACAAGGTAATGTAAGAGAGTCATATTTTTGTTGGTCGATGCCTTTGTATCAATCATTTTGCTTAAACTTGAGACCTTAAAGCCCAATGCAGAGCCTCTTTGTCCCTTGTTCATGAAGTTACCCATAGCTAGGACTAGTTCTAGCACTTTCTTTAGTTTCCTGCTCCTAAACACCTCTTTACTGGCTTCAAACACAGCTGAAATACAGTAGTGGAGGAGCATTGATAATTAGTAATATTTAAAAGGTAGTTATCATTATTTTTGCATCAAATGGAAATACTGAGATTTATACAAGTATGGTAGGTGTAATGCAATTGTTAGGATTAACATACCATCAATTTTTTGTTTACAATCCACTTTCCTCTCTTGAAATTTTTTCTTAAAGTACAGTGCTTTTAATCTCTCCTCGTAATGAAGAATTCTAGAAATCATACATTATAAAATGTCAATACAAATGTATTAAATTTTGTTTATAGAGTAGATATAGAGTCACATAGATTGTTTATTGAGCCTACACTTTAACACCTAACATTTTCCCACACAAAGTTATTGGCAATAAATAATTACAGCTGAGCAGATGACAAATGGGTGTATGTGATAAACCTACTTGCTCATCTCAAACAAAAATCTGTCTGCCCGTGCCATGTTTTCAATTTCATGAGCATATTCAGACAGCAACTGTATTTCTTCAGCCGTAGGAACAAACTTTAATAACTGTGAAAAAATTTAAAAAATCTAAAATTAGCATTATGGAGTAAACAAATGTTTAAAGAATAAACAATAAAAAACTAAGAAAGTACAATAAAACATGTTGTCTGTGTATGTAGTTTATTTCAAACCTAATGAATTGTCTTTCTATTTGAATGTTTTATTTTTTTATTTTAATATTTTATACCAATGGATTGCCACTGATTTCCAATAAAAATTTTAATGTTCAACTTTGGACAAACAAAAAGTTGTACCTGCTCCACCATGTCTTTAGGCAAATCCTCTCCCTCATCCACATTCATGATAGCCTTGGCCAGCTCCTCGTTGGTCAGTTTTAACTTGGACAAAAGGATGGTACAGTTTTGACTTCTCCTACCATCAATCACAGTCAGCACTTGCGTCTTGGATTTTGTGTTTTTGTAATCATCTTCCCCGTCCTCTGTCACTGGCTTCTGGTAGGCTGAGAAAGTTCTTTGAAAATCCTCAAGGTCAAGGATGGAGTATACCTATTGTGAAGAAATGTTTGATTGTAAAATATTTTAAAAATCAAAGCTCATTAAAATTTCAGTACAGGTTTCTGTGTTTTTACATAAATTAAGTTATAAAAATATGAATGATTTCAGTAAAAAGAGGACATAAAAAAAAATAAACACACTCCACACACAATTATAGATCAATTTTAAAGTAAAAATAACAAGGTTACAACATAAGCACTATACAAATAAATCTGTTGAAAAACAAGCAATTACATAAAATATTTGGTTAAATAATTTTTTGTTTATACCTTTGAGTGGTTTAAATCATTCCAAATGGTTCCTGAGACTTGATTCTGAAATGATAGAAAATTTACATTAAATCTAAAAGAGCCAGCATCAAGTTTTTATAAGTAAGTGTACTTTATCAAACATGAGATAAACAGTAATAATATAAAATTTAGTTTCATGGAATTTTACCTCAGCAATTTTAGTCCAGTTAAAGGATTTCATTGGTACACTGGGTTTGGGATTACCTTTGAACTTTGCAGCTAAACTCGAGCTTACACATCCATTCATGCCTGTAACAAAACAAACAAATCTCATTGATTCCATTCATTTTACTTTGTAGTGAATAAATGTTGATAATGAAGTGTAAACAAAATATTTAAAATATAAAACATACCAAAAGTTGATGGCATGGGTGCTCCAGGGGCAGGGGGTGGCGGAGGGGGAGCAGGCATGTTAGGAGGTGGTGGGGGTGGAGGGTATAAGGGAATATCTCTTTTCTTAGATTCTAGGCTTGAAATGATGGATGAAGCAGCTGTGGTGAGGCCCATTTTGGCGTCATCAGGTAGGCTGCCTGTCTGTACTAGGTGCTGCAGCTTTTGCTTCTCCCCCCTTTCCGTGTCCAGCTGTTGAGTAGATGGAAACATAACATGTAGATAACAACAAACATAATTCTCCTAATGACTTGATCACCTACATGAAAGATGGTATTGTTACAGCAGTAGTGCGAGTACCTGTGATCTAATTTCCTCAACTCTGGAGAGCAGGTCCTGTAACTGTTGTCGTGTTTCAGCATGGGCAGCAACTTCCTTCTCTAGCTTGGCCTTCATCATGTTCATTGTTGACATCAGCTCATCCTAGTTCACACAAGAGTGCATTATTACGATTTTTATCTTTTACTTTAGTAAGAGTCAAATTATTTTTTATCTGTCCATCATATTGTTAAAATAGAACCAACTGCTGTCAGTATTAAAACATACTTTTTCTTCCAATCTGACTTCACATTCTCTTTCCTTCTTGGCAAGTTTAGCAGCCAGTTCATCACTGGCTTTTTCTGCTTCTCTTAGTTTCGTTTGGAAACTTTTGATGTCTGTTTCACTTGCAAGTCTGTAGACAAAAGTATGTTCAATAAAAAAATAGATCTAACTCTAAGACAGTAGTAAATGTTAATAAATACCTTGGTTTTATAGTAGATTAAAGTGAATATGTAATCAATGTAATGTATTGATACAATATTAAATAAACACAAGCTGTTTGATGAAATGATATGGTATTAGATCAGCACATACTGTCTTATAAGCTGTTTGATGTTGATCTCCTCTAGAGGAGCACCGTCAGGGTCTTCTCCCTTTTTGAGCTGCAGGACAATCTGTTGGACAATTTTATCCACAAGTGGCCAGACATGTAACACGTCATTCTTGCCATCTGTTCAAATATCAGACACATAACAAATATTATACATTTTGATAGCTAATGCATGTGTTGACTCTTTAATCCTTTAAGAATGTGTGTACTAATATTTTTTTATTTAAACCTACAATTGTGTGGATATTGTAAAATGTTCAGAATATTGAATTCAAACTTACATGGAATAAGGAGCATGTGATGTAAAATGGAGAGCAAATTGGGATATGCCGTAGAGAGATGTAACTTTTTTCTTAAGACATCAAACATGGCGGTGGCACTCTTTGAGTCTATGTGAACCTGTAGCAAGAAAATAGAATAAAATTGATCATTAAGGCTGCCTTGATGAAACTGAACATAGCAAACTTTACTAATTGTGCTGTGTTAAAAAATTGCTCAAACTATTTTACGTCTTATGTTTTACTTACACCATCAAATCTTTTGGCAAATTCTTTTTCATCTTCATTGCGAACCATTTCAAAAAAATCTAAATGTCTGCAACAAATAATGTATATTTTTAAAAAAATTATTTACATTTTACAAAACATTTTACATTTAATTTTTAAAGACTTAGTTTAATGGTATGATTGAATGCTGGTCAGAGTTAAGGTAAGTAATAATATGAAAAACATTTAAAAACATTTTAAAAAAGATTACCTGTCAAGAGTTGTATTTCCATGAGCTCGCATTTTTTTAATAATCGGCACAATTCCTAACATGAGGAATTCATAGCGAAGATGTAATCGAAATTCAAGATGATCCTAAACAAGATACACAGAATAAATAAATATAGTTTAAAGTGCATTAAGATTTTTCTATTAAGAATTTTTTATAGCATAACAATAGCTTAGTTTTAAAGGTAGCAACATATTAGGATCCAACGATTAAAAAAAACACAATATTTGATAACATTAGTTTAGTTTTCATTAGACCAGTAACAAATATTGAAAAAATAAACTCCAACATTTCTTACCTGCCCAGCTCCATACTTTAGAGCAGCATTAATGAATGACATAACAGCTGTTTTTAAGGCCACCTCCTCTTTGTATTTACCAGTACTTCTGTCAAGGTCATAGATGAGGAGCTGAAACATACAGGGCAAGCAGATTTTAGTCTTTTGTGGCAGTGAAGGTGGGGGGGGGGGGGGGGGTTTGGAGAAGGGCTGATGGTTTTTTGCACAATTATTTAGACATTAAAACCTATATAAACAAGAAGCTGACAGGCAGACAATGTTGCAACACAAATAGAAAAAAGAACATCAGTTTACAGTTCCGGACAATTTTAACATTAATTATTTGAGTTGTGTTTCACATTTAGTCATATATAAAACACAATTGAACCATTCAGCTACCTGAAAACGAGTTCTCTCCCCCGCATATTTCTGGAAATGTAGCATGGCATTCAAAACTTTGCGGTGCCCACCTGGTACAAGGCATATGGCACCGAGAATTTCAAGGGCTGCAATTTTGGTTTTCACATTTTCGACTGCTAGGCTCTGGGCTATTATGTTCATGCAGTCGGGATGTGCCAGCACGTGTGCTCGTCCTTGCTGAAAGACATGGAAGATATTTTAGGGAATATTATCATTAAAAACTTTTAAACAATTAGTTTTTGTTTAGTTATAAACAAAGCAACTGGAAGATATTTTAGGGAATATTTTCATTTAAAAAACTTTTAAACAATTAGTTTTTGTCTAGTTGTAAACAAAGCAACTGGTTTGAAATTATTCTTCACTTACAGAATTATTCATGAGGGCTTTGATGCAGCCTATGACAGAAGTGTGTAGTGGACCTTCAGAGGTTTCATACTCCATTTTAGAGAGAAAATCCAAGAGGCATTGAAGGCCTCCCTTTTCAATAAAAGACACGACAAAGCTGAAATAAAACGTAAAGAGAGCATTACAAGATGAAGTTGATGTGTGTTTCATGACAATGTATGCACGCTGGGATATGTAAAGATAGCTTTGTGTTCTTTTAGAAAGTTCACAAAGGGAGATAAGCTTTGGGAGATATAACAAGTACCTGTATAAATGCACAGTGTAGGACTTTACCAAGGGAACATAACAGTTGGAATGTTAACAAAATTCTAAAATGTTTGTGCCTAAGCAAAGGGACTTAAGTATTAGGAATATGTACAAATATTTTTTTGTTTGTATTTTAAAAATAATTTTGCAAGGGGACATAAGCATCATAATTCGTACAAATATATTAATGTCTATGTCCCATAAGAGTTAAGAGAGGGGAGATAACCACTGTAATTTTTATAAGCACCTTAACGTCTGTGTTCTTAAAGCTGTCTTTAGATTTTCCACAATATTCATGGATGAATTTATTCCATCTTCAGGAAGTTCTCCATGATTCTGAAAACAGTATATTTTTTTTAACACGTGTTGAAATCAACTAATACACTTGTGAGCTATGTATATATTTTAATTGATGAGCAATGTAGTAAAACAACTTACAGAATTTATGTTAAACATTTTTTCTATGTAGTAGTCCACTCCATTCTGTTTACTGGTACCAACATCCTGTTAAAAATAAGCATTTTACAATACATACACTTAGGTATATAAATAAATCAATAAATAAATATATATATATATATATATATATATATATATATATATATATATATATATATATATATGTATATATATATATATATATATATATATATGTATATATATGTATATATATATATATGTATATATATGTATATATATATATATATATATATATATATGTATATATATATATATATATATATATGTATATATATATATATATATATATATGTATATATATATATATATATATATATATATATATATATATATATATATATATATATATGTGTGTGTGTATGTGTGTGTGTGGACACATATTTCTATTTAAATTAGACACATAAGGATGATAGTTATTATGAATACGCCTGCTAAGAGCAGTTTAAAGAACTGTCAAGGAGAATTACCACCCCAATTATCAGGTGCTTACTTCCCTTTCAACCTTATTATGGTAATTAAACATCCGGCGTGTTGAGATAATTAGTAAACACGAATTTTAGCTCGATAAAACAACATTTAGAAGGGTTATCTTTTTTTTTAAATCTCAAACTTTAAAACTTGGTTTGAAAAACAATAATCGTGCCAGAAGATGGTGCGTTGATTCAAATTGTTGAACATACTAAAATTAGGGATACATTTTACCCACAAAATGTAAAACAAAAAAAATTAAGTGGATATGTCTATTTAAGGCTACTTGATTTATTATAATTCAAAATAATTCCACCTAAAAATCGGCATGTTTATAAATAGAACTCGGGGCATCTTTGCTTTCTTGTATAATGACGGCGTACACTTTGACGTCACACCATCTCGATTAGTTCAGAAAGCTTTTCTAATCCAGGATTCCTTTTTCTTATTTTACGTCTCTGAAGAGCTCCGAGTCTTGAATCCATTCAGTGAACCAGAAGAAAAGAGATTAAAACCAGCTGTAGAGAACACTCGCCGTACGCAGAATTGACTGAAGCATTATCTGCTTCCCATCTAATAAATACACGCATTGTTCAGTGACTAACTCAAACTGTCTCAACCCCCCACCCCTACACAAATGTTTGTTCTGTCGACCGGCATTAAAGGTGAAAATGTTTATCATAGGCTGATGGATCGTCTGATGATAGCCATCTTTACACTGGTAGTGAAAACCTTTAAGTCAAGTGAGAAAATTTGCATGGATGATACTAACGGGGAAACTGAAGAATTTTGTTAACATCTATAGCGGGACAACTACTGTTTTGTTTTTGTGCTAACATGTTTAATTATTATTTAGAAATCAACTAAAAACTTTTACTAAAATTCTCAAAGATTTCTTTAAAATCCAATACATAATCAAAATCAGCAGTGTGATTCTGTATACATACATTATAATTTTAAATAGATAAACAAAGGATTTCTTTATAACATTTTTAAAAGTATGAAGTCAACATCCGCCTCCAGAAGTGGGGTATTTTCTATAGCAGACTAATGGAGTATTTTCTTTAAACTATTTGGTCCTAATATTGCTGATTCTTTAAACTTTTGGGCCATAATATTGCAGATTCTCTAAACTCACCCCTACCACACCATCATACATTTGATACATAAGTCGCTCACGATGTGTTCCAGGCCCATTAATTGCACACCCAGACGGGTGAAAATGTCAATCTTAAGGTTGAAGCCTCTAGTGGGCAGACGTGAGCTACCGGTCTACAGCCGACAGCAGGACCCACATGTCTGGCTATTGTAGGCAGGGGCGTAGCCTTATCTCCACGATCGGGTAAAGAGAGGAGCTCAAGACAAAAGGAATGTGTCACTGACCACGTATAAATCATTGCGTTTTCTTACACCTTTTTTGTATATCGGTAGGTTGCTAGTCTGCTGTCTATGGCTGGAGGAGAGTGGAGTGCGGAGTAAAACAAAGGTGGAGGGGGAGTAAAACAAAGGGTGGAGGGGGAGTAAAACAAAGAGTGGAGGGGGAGTAAAACAAAGGGTGGAGGGGGAGTAAAACAAAGGGTGGAGGGGGGTAAAACAAAGGGTGGAGGGGGAGTAAACAAAGAGTGGAGGGGGAGTAAAACAAAGGGTGGAGGGGGAGTAAAACAAAGGGTGGAGGGGGAGTAAAACAAAGGTGGAAGGGGAGTAAAACAAAGGGTGGAGGGGGAGTAAAACAAAGAGTGGAGGGGGAGTAAAACAAAGGGTGGAGGGGGAGTAAAACAAAGGGTGGAGGGGGAGTAAAACAAAGGTGGAAGGGGAGTAAAACAAAGGGTGGAGGGGGAGTAAAACAAAGGGTGGAGGGGGAGTAAAACAAAGGGTGGAGGGGGAGTAAAACAAAGGGTGGAGGGGGAGTAAAACAAAGGGTGGAGGGGGGTAAAACAAAGGGTGGAGGGGGAGTAAAACAAAGGTATGAGTGGGGGGAGGGCCGACGGTGGGAGTTTGAATGTACCTACACTCAACACAGAAGTAAAAAAAAAAAACAAGACTAGAAATAAAATTGAGCTGTAGCTCATTAGGTTGGGTATTTTAGCAGTCGAAAACACGCCAACAGTTGCTAGTGTTAAAATAGTCGTGTCATTAACTACAGAGGCCAAACTTGCTGTTCATCAGACACATGGGGAGTCGGGGGGGGGGGGGGAGAAAGAAAGGGTAGCGACCGCTGGGTGGCGCTGTACTGTAAATGTACCATCAGACATGTGGGGAGTCGGGTGGGGGGAGAGAAAGAAAGGGTAGCGACCGCTGGGTGGCGCTGTACTGTAAATGTACCATCAGACATGTGGGGAGTCGGGTGGGGGGGGGGGGATGGTAGCGGCAGCTGGGTAGCGCTGTACTAAAATGTACCTAAGTCATAAACTTGTAACTGTAGTTTCGTACTACATGTTTTTTAAAACAAGGTTTACCGTCTCTTTAAAGTCTTCACGCCGTTTTTCCCAGCCAGTTCAACTTTTAAACTGCTAAAGGGGCGAAGACACGCCAGTGTGGGTTGGGCGCATCTGCCTGTTTGCCCGTCGGTTGGGGGAAAAATAAACACGTTAGACGTTTTCACTACGTAACGGGTAGCCTCCTCATGTGGTGGGGTAAAGATGTGACCCACCCCCCTCCCCGCTGGTGAATTCTAGTTACACACATGCAAGGGGGGGGGGGGAGTAAGGGGTGGTGAACGTTTTTTTTTTTTAAATTTTTTTAATTACAGCGGGGAACAGAAGTTCATAACATAGAAAAAGTTTTGATCATGTTGGATGATTACAGAAATAGGGGTGGGGGAGGCGTGGAACATTGGCAGACGTTTGTTCCTTTATATATTCCCGTTTTTTTTCCTTCTGTTTAACTCTAATTAACATTTCTAATTTAGAATCCACGTTGAATTGAAAAAGCCACGTGGCCAGAGACCAGCAGCGTAGCGTAAGTTCAAGGCTCGCCGGCTACACTGTGAGTAACGCTACCTGGGACTAGGAAGGGGCGATAATGCGTGAGAAGACAGGGTTATCGAACTTAACATCTGTCTAAAGTTTTAACCCAAACATCTGCGATTGATTTTTACCTGTACGATCTTACACCAAAAAAAAAAAAAAAAAAAAACAACAGCGTTACAGTCTGCAGGCTATACTCATTATGCTTACCCTTTGCTTGTTGTTGTGTTCGCATGACCACATAATTTACAATCTCGGTCTATAAACAGTTTGTAGACACACACAAAATTTAAAATCAGTGAAGCTGTTATTACAAAGCATTAACCAGTACAAACGTATATCACTTTAACTGATTTCTATTTAGCAGAAGTATATCACTTAAACTGATGTTTTAGCACTAACTAAAATCTAGTACTAAAGTAGCATTAAGTTGATTAAGCGCAGGAAGTTAATTATTGTAAACCATATTAGTAAGCTAATAACATTTTATCATATAATTACAATGTGTCCGAACAGAAAAGTATATATATAGAAACGTAAACAGGGAAAGAGAGAAGGCGACAGTGTTTACAATCTGTTTGTATATGTAACAAAGACAGTGAGTAGTTGAGTGATGTAACAATCTATGTTTGTATCGTTAACAAAGACAGTGAATACTTGAGTGATGTAACAATCTATGTTTGTATATGTAACAAAGACAGTGAGTACTTGAGTGATGTAACAATCTATGCTTGTATATGTAACAAAGACAGTGAGTAGTTGAGTGATGTTTAACAATCTATGTTTGTATCGTTAACAAAGACAGTGAATACTTGAGTGATGTAACAATCTATGTTTGTATATGTAACAAAGACAGTGAGTAGTTGAGTGATGTTTAACAATCTATGTTTGTATCGTTAACAAAGACAGTGAATACTTGAGTGATGTAACAATCTATGTTTGTATATGTAACAAAGACAGTGAGTGCTTGAGGGATGTAACAATCTATGTTTGTATATGTAACAAACACAGTGAGTACTTGAGTGATGTAACAATCTATGTTTGTATATGTCACAAAGACAGTGAGTACTTGAGTGATGTGTTCCATACGTGCACACCGCAGTGCTGTGATATCCCGGCTACACCTAGAATATGAGAACATGACGGTTTATTTTCAGTTCAAGGCTGGATCAATGTGGCATTTGAAAGAAACACGGCGCTGTAAACACACACCCCCATGCCTCATACATGTATTTGCGCCCCACCCCCCGCTCCCCTCCCCCACAGGCGAGATCGCGCGTGCATGAGATGACTGGCGTTGTTTGTTTGTTCAGCCCCTGGGATTAAGAATATCTAGTCATCTCCCCCCCCCCTCCCATTGTAATGGTGTTAAAGACGTCTTCTCTCTTAACCTTCCGCGTGACTTAGGCCCGGACAGTCTGAGGAAGGTGAAAAAGGTCGGACTGACATTTCGTTACCCCCCCCCCCCCTCTATGTTTTATCGGTAGAGAGTTACAAAACAAACCTTGAGTCAAAGTGTAGCTCAAGTGTTTTGGGGCGCGATTTGTATGAGGCGATGAAAATGGATTATAGTGGCTGTTGAGAGAAACA